CTTGACCCGGTACACTTATATGCAAAGTTCTACGTTGATAAGCTTATCATAAAGTTACACAAGGCTCAACATTCTCCAATCACAATAAGACGAGAAAGATCAACCTCTTAAACTAAAGCGAGAATGAATAAACGGCTGGAAGTATATGAAGCCCTGCTGAATCAATACATTTCTACACATATGTAAGTCTGTTAGTGTTAATAGGTAGCTCTCAGGATTTAGTCGCTACTTTGAAATACAAACGTCTATTCTTTTCCAAATTCTGTTAATTAGCGGTCATCAATTATTTTTCCTTTGGTGAATCACATTTATAAGTATGACATATCTAAATCTATAGACAAGTGACTTTATATTCGAACTAGACGACATTTATCGTGACCTTTGTCGCCGAGATTAAAAAGTACCATTCGATGAACTGGTCAGTAGACAATTCGTTCACTTACTCCGTCTAATAATAACTTCTAGGATTTAACCAGCTGATTACACTGGTGTAAATCACTGGTCAACCCAGTTTATAAAGAGGGAGAGAACTCTTTCTGTAATTAACATAGAGGGATTAGATAATATTAAATGGTTGGAAGCAATCGCCAGGAAGCCTTACCTCACCTAGGTTTCGTGCTAGTTGGCACTCGTCACAAGATGTATCTGCAATCTCGAAAGAACTCATGTCCCTCCTGAGATTCGAACCCACGTCACCCAGTGCTGCAGTCAGATTGACTCCAACAATCTAATATTATCAAAGCAATGTGCATCGTGATGGTGAGCTACCTAGAATGGTGGTCACATTGCAAACGCGACTGATAGAATTCAGTCTGCACGAAAGAAAAGACTAGACACTTCACAATAATTACTAGTGTCCAATCGAAGTATAGAGGGATTAGCTTCACTATAGCAGTAACTAACGTTTTATGTTTAATAATCATGCTTAAACTAAGCAGTGCTCAGAAGAGAAAAATGCGAGAAAACTAGGTAGGTTTTAGGCCAAGAAGAGGGTGTATGGATCATATCTTCACCCTACGATACGTTCTCAAACATAGACATCCTAATGGGCGTCCAACACTTGATATATTTCTTAACCTGAAGACATCATTGGGCCCTGTCGACAGAGAGGTGCTGAGACAGTGTCTAGTTTTGAAAGCATATAACACTAATCAAGGCACTGTAATCGAACTCACACAGCCGTTGAGAAGGTTATTGGGCGTTTTTATCTGAATTGATAACAGCCAATGGCATGCGTCATTACAGATATGTCCCCAATCGATTTTAGTGACTCAAGAATTAATTGGTTGCCAGGAAACATTCTCATCAGCTTTAAGTATGCTGATGATATTGTCCTACCAAATAATGAAGACGCTGATAAAATACAGCCCCTTCTGAACACCTTGAGCAGAAATCTTGGTATGTTTTGCACGCGACTCCCATTCCTGTCAAATGTAAGATACTGCTGCAGCGCACTAGTGTGTGCCGAAGTGGTATCAGTAGCGAAACAACCTAAGGTGGAAGTACATGGTATATCAATATGCCCACATAATCACCAGATAGAGTTACTCGAGATGTAATCAACTCGATAAAGTCACAATTTTGACTGGTAAACTGTGATGAAATATACGTTTAGATGACACTGAATAACTAATGCTAATTAGTTAGAAATACAGGTTTGCAACTACAAATACTTCAACACCTTAGAGAATATAAAGTCCGGTAGTTATGACAGTTTTGAGAACCCCTTGCCTAGTATGATGCTGGCAACAATTCAATACAATCAAGCAATGTAGAAAGACAAACCAAAAGTCACACAGGTGTAAATGCAATAGAAATTATATACATGGCAAAATAATCATAATAATAATAAATTACTTTTAAATGAAGCTTTTTCAGCAAGTTATACACGGCTAACAATATTAGATAATATTAATAGTAATAATAATAATGATTAGAACAACCACCATAGTTGTAAATGGAAAATGCACAGAAAGGGATACAATTACTAGTAATAATAATAATATTAGTATTATTAATAATAGTAATAATAGTAGTAATAACAATATAATTAATAATACACGATACACAAAATACATGCGAAGTGTGCATTAGGTGTGACGCAGCAGCACTCGTCTCTTCCTTGTTGACATTCGAATAAACAAACAAATAAAATGATAAAATAATAATAATAAAATAATCAAACTAATAAATTTACGTGAATAACAACAACCGGAGGTGTGACAAATTAGAGAAAAACAGAGAGAAACCTGTTATAAGTTATAAGCTGTTTTTAGTAAGAGATAACAATTAACGATGATTAGCATTAACTCCATCGATTTCTGCTCTCCCCCCGCGTCTTTGTTTCTAACTTCTTTATAATTAAAAAATAGTTCTTGTGTTCAGGGAAAATTTGACCAGAATACGCAAGCCACCTCTCCACCATATATATATGGGGAACTCTAACTCATCCAGTGATATACAGCCATACCACACATAATAATAATAACATCGAGAATTGACCGAAGTCGACCGACACACATATATGAATGAATGTATATGAAACACTACTAACTAATGTATATATATATTAGAAAACGATATTACTAACAGTAATGGAATATTAGTAGTAGCAGTAGTGAAATTTGTAAAAAATAAGAATTCAAATTGAATTTAAAAAGATATTCCGAAAAAAATAGCAACATTACATCTTCTCTAGATTATATCTATCTTTCATGTTAGAAATGCGTGGAGTGAGAGAGAAAAAACTAGTTTGCCACTTGCTTGCATAAAACGCACACACACACACATACATCATCCTCAATACACAAAGTAGTACAAAAAATATGTATATATATAGAACCATAAGAAAACAAACAAACAGACAAACACAGAGAATGGAACGTTTTTGCGATTGACAGTTTCGTGGTTGGCAGGGTCGGCCGGGAGGAATAAAAATAGAATTTGGAATTCACTATAATGACAAATAGTATTTAATCATATATATATATATAAACCGAGTTGTGTTAATTAAAAACGCACCTACCCAAACATCATCATCGCCATCATACAGGGTTGAATAATGCATAAAAGTTTAAAAGACCAAAGGCAAACGGATTTTGATACACAATGAAGAAAACTCCCCATTGAATTAGCTCATGAAGAGAAAAATTAGCCCTATTGAGAGAAGTTGACATCCCTCGAAGAAGAAAATATGTTAACAAACAAGGGGAAAAAAAGGAGGATTAAGAGACGACGAGAGGACAACAGGTTGTCTTCTTCAGAGATTACACATTTTGAAACAAGATAGGAGTTAAGATGAGGAAGTGTACATTGAAATGCTGCTATATTAGAGAATAAACACTCACATATAAACGTATAATACTATTGATTTATTCACGCAGAAAAACACCGGATAGAAAAATATTTAAAAAAAACACCAGATATGCATATAACAACACATGTATATGACTTAAAATGCAATCAAGTGTTCAACAAAAGGAATTATTAATATTACTGTTATTTGAACTTTTACGCTGTCCTTTGAAAAGAAAGAGAGAAAGGGAGGGGAGACAGGGATAGCTGAAAAAAGAAAGATCTGAAAGAAATACCCTACTGATCAAAATATATTAATAATAATAAGTAGAAAAACAAACGACAGTGATAATAACGATACATGATTACAGGATAATTGTAAGAAAATAATACAAATGATAAACTTATATTCACCAGGAAGTTAAAAACAAATAGAATGGTAGTGTGTGAATGACTGCATTGGGTAGAGGATTAGGGGATAAAAGATCATCAAAAATATTATTCATCAGTAATAATAATAATAGTAGTAGTAGTAGTAAAAAATAATGATAAAAAGATACCAAGGTATTTAAAAACACAGAATCCATACAAGTAATAAATATAGAGAACAAAAGGACAGGAATAATAAAGTCAAACAGGACACGGATACAGAATGAGGCATAGATTTCAATGTGAAGTGGAAAAACCACTTTATGAAACTTTATCATTTAAACTGTGACATACAACTGAATGAGGCATACAATTAGTGGGTGGATTATGAATGTGGTGACAGCGCGCAGTTATAATGGTGTTGATGATGATGGTATTTTGTAAGAGACGATAGATAGATAGTCTCACGTAGGTAGGTAATATATTATTGTGATATAATAACCGCATACAAAAGGTCTACTGAAACCACAGCCATATGTGAAGTGTTAACAAAACAAACTTGAATTTAACTAACATGGCATTCGAGCAGAAAAAAATAATTGCGTGTGTGTGATAAAGGGAGACATTAAAAATTTTAAAAACACAAATATAAACCAGCTGCTAATAATACACATATGAAATACACAGGAAACGATGTAACCAGGAGGAATGAATTCCGAAATGATTCGTACAAGAGTTGGAACTACTTACACCCCCTAATGATAATGAGATATAAAGTAATGAATACAAAGATGAGAAATGATGAAATATTTTTCGAGTAGAGAAAAAGATAATTGTTACAAAAACAAAACCGGTGCTGTCTTTTCAATTCATTAAATGCTTTATGAAATTGTTGACACTCCAGCGCGGACACATACAGATACAAACAAAATGAATCATGTAAACTTGGTGTAAAAGAACAAATACAGAAATATTTTCGTGTAGCAGTAGTAGTAGGAGTCATAGTAAAATTACATAGAAACACGCACACGCATACACACCCATGTTTGTCATCAGTGATTAGCAAGAATTCAAAAGGAAAAAAATGCAAAGAAGTGAGATTCGTTGAAATGACTGAACACAATCTACCCTTTTAATACACTTTACATTTTCACCTACTACCTTTTCACGATCAGCACATATACATAAAAACAAAAGTACATAAACATAAAAAACAAAAATAAATTGTCACAAATATTATAAACAATCAAAACGGGATTCGTTTCACCTCTCTTCTTATTACCTTGAACACAGGCAGATGATGTACCAATAAGATCTGATTACATACTTCCCAGTAATTAAACACGATGCGTAGTTTCTGAATTTTTATGAGTATGATTGATAGAATTATTTGTTGTCCCAGTCGACATACAACCGATACCACTGCCTCCACCTCCGCCTCCCTGCATTATCTCCAATAACTGATCTAGTGTTGCACGTCTACGTAGACCAGCTGCTCTTAATTCATCAGCTAAATGTGAAACCATATCGGTTAAACGTAAATGAATTGTCTCTTCATTACGTAGACGTTGAACAACACCGGCTAATTCACTGCCAGGTGGTAATCGGTCAATAATAGAAGAGAACGACTGTTGTTGTTGTTGATGTTCATGAGGATGTTGTGGTTGATGACTGTTATGAAAATTAGGATAACCAGTGGCAATACTACCGCCATTTAGACCAGCTTCAGATGCCAGTAAATTTAAGTACTGAGATGTATCCATATTGTTTAAACCATTTAGTAAGGTAGAAGCTAAGTTAGCAACGTGTAATGAATTGGTATTATTATTATTATTGTTATTATTAACTGTGGTAATACTATCACCCGTGAAATCTCCATTAACAGTCAGGCTTTTATTAACACTATTATTGTTATTAGCATTAGTCGGCTGGGTTGTTGTACCGGCAGTGGTAGTAGTAGGAGGAGTGGTAATAGTATTATTGGCAGAATGTAAAGCATTTTTCAATGAGGCAGTTAGCGCGAAAAATTGTTCACGTTGTTGTACACTATCCAACTGCATAGATTCATCCTGTGGTTGTGTTTGCTGTTGACGGAGTAAATCATTGAATAACTGTGATTGAACTAAAAGAGCTGCTGCAGCAGGATTGAAAAAGAATGGAAATCCTGAATTAACGCTTTGTGAGACTGTTTCATTTGTTGTTGATGTGGTGGGATTATTGTCATGATTTGTTGAATTCGGCGTAGATGATATGTGCATTTTTTTATCCGTAGTATCTGAACTACGTGGATTACTGGTAAACAATGCTGTACAAGGTACTGGAGTACTTGTTGATGTATCATAATTTGATTGTTCAGTTTTATATTTTATGCCATTTGTGGAATGAAAATTCGGTGTTAAGGAATGTGGTGTACGTGTTCTAGATAGACCAAAGTATAAGGGTGAATCTGGAGCGTGTAAAGATGAAGATAGTGTCATTTTATTCGATGACAGACTGCCTGGACCACCTGGTGTATTCGGTGTAGATTTACTAGTACTGATTCGATCACCGGTTACTTGCATAGTTGTTGCATCAATATTTGGATAGATTACTAGTATTAAACGTGCAACACGTCGTAGGATATCAGCATTACGTACTGCTTTCTGAGGATTATTTACCAAGAGGCGTACATCACGACGTAAATTTTTCCATTTATTATAACAATGCTCCATAGTAAAACCTAATGATTCCATTTCTGTACCAATAATTTGCCATACTTGTTTATGCTTTTTTTGTATATTAAATTCATCTAAGTGTTTTTCAACACAATCCAATAAAGTTTGAACATTTTGATTTGACCAATGCACCTTTTTCTCCGTTGAATCCATTGGATGATGTCTTGGACTATCGACATTCAACATAAATCCACGTGTTGCCCCATTTATATCATCATCTTCATCTTCTGGTGGTAACATTGTTACATCAAGTTGTTCGTCAACATCATCATCATCGTCACCACCACAATGATTATTCAAGTGATGCGTACTACCATTATTGTTATTAGTAGTAGTGTGATTAGTATTACTATTATTATTGTTGTTATTGTGGTTACTACTATTGTTATTATTATTATTCACATGTGATCGAAGAGAAGAATATTTCATTGGTTCTAACTCCATTGGATCCTCATCATCATCTTCCACATCTTCAGGGAAACTTGGACTTGATTTCTCCGGACTTTTTGGAGTATAACTCATCATGTGATCCATCATCTAGAATAAAGCAGTTAGAAAAAAAATATTGCAAAGATATGGAAATTGAAAGCAGTAATAAAATGCACTTAATAGAAGTTTTTTACTCAGAGAGGCTACTGCCTTTGAGTGTCAGGGGATATCAGACAAAACTAGATGAACATTTACGTCTAATATAACCGTCAAGTCAGCTTAGACCTTACTCTCAACCAGCAGATGTGTTAGGACTGTGACCACAATTTTTCAAAGCTGAATAAGGCAATGAAAACAGTATTGCACGATAAGCATAATAAATGTATTTACTGGTTATTGATTTAAGGTATGTAAAAATCCCACCACAGTGACTACCTATATATTCCATTATTCATTTTGTACACATTTTGTACTGCCCGCTGTTCACCAGCCCTGGGACTAGATCGAAAAAGCGGAGAGGTAGTCAGACTATGACGTGGCGTCGTGGGATGAAGGGTATTTCTGTCATCCTAACATCACCATCCCTTGAGCAATGGGGTCCGAGAGATAGTTCGAATGACTAACGCTATCAGATATGACCAAAAATCGCAATAAATGACGAAAAGCAACCTCCTTCTTTCTTCCTTTTGCGAAGGTACCAATGAAGTAATGAATGTTGAATAGTCGTGACAAATATGCTTGATTGCTTTCTAAGTGACGCCCCTCATGATGTCCACATTGTATAAAGATTGTGTTTTACATAAATAAACATTCCAAAGCTTGTACTAGGTATACTGAAAATAAATGATAACTAACAACACAAACTTGCGGACAATGAGACACGGATGAAGAATGTTACTTTATGAACATCCTAAGGCTCGAAAAAAATTGTTAACATAAATAACATACTCAATAAAGTGTATTAGATGTCAGTAGGGCAAATATATCTAGTAGCTGTCAAATGAAGGACAAAACGAGGATGAGAAAGAGGTATTCTTCGAACACATATTCACAAACAGCTTCTGGTAGAACAACAGAGCAAGAAAAAACATTCTGCTCTAAATGTAACGCCTTAGAAGAACATTTTTATACAAGGTACTAAAGCGCTACCTGATGGGATGATGACGTAAACATCAGAAAAGTTGAATACCGTCTTAAAAAGCATTTGATCAATGCACGAGGCCATTAAAGACCAAAGCTTTAGGCGACTGATGTATCATTCATGCTTACCATTCGCTGACCTATGAGTTTATGCAGCATGGCACAGCATTAATTGAGAAGGGTAGCCAAACTAAAACTTAGTACAAATCGACAAAACCATTGACGACATGATCTGAGTCATTTAAGTAGATAACCTGGAGTGCATGTAACTAGTGACATCTACAGTTGGAGACTGTACGTGGCACGACATAAATTAGTGTGATGCAGGTGTATCCAAACTTATTGAGACGGAATTACAATATAAAAACCACTGCTGGCACTTAGTGACTTTGACCGTTAAAGCAAAGCCACTTGATAATTAAGACACTCGATGTTATACACTACCAACTGATTAACATGAATAGTCGGATACTACTCACATCAACCATTAGTCCTTGTTAGCCAGGTTGAAGTGATCTAAAGACCAGACGGCTATTTCTCTCTTTTGAAACTGATAACATCAACGGTGTTCCCGGTTAGATCCAGCCTAGAGAGTTACATCAGCGCAAACCTGAATTCTCACTAGCTACTCGGACGAACTAGTAATACATTGAATCAAATTCACACAGGTGAAATGTCATCAGCTTCCTATGGAAACCGACATCATTCATCACAATCAGATCTGAGTTTGATACCACTGATCAGTACATTTAGGAATGATGAATTTCTAGCTGCAATAATAAAACAAATATCAGTGAAATTAGCGTATTCTGTCTGCTAAGAGAAAGTATGCCTGGTATAATTGCTATAGAGCTTCTAGTAGAAATCAGGATGTGATTACAAGGGATTGAAATAATACTTAATCTGTCAGGTGTATAGTTTCAAACAAATACCTAATTCAAGGTGAAAAGAGAAAAAGTATACAGGAAAATCAGTTCGCAGATTAAGGAGACAATGCAGTAACTAAGTGAACCAAAAAACTGAATAATGCATCTTACGAGGGTTTATTATCCTAACTTATTGCCTCAACATTAGATGATGGTTCCGAAATCATTATCTGTTAGCTGGAAGCCATAAGAGTACAGGTAGATAAATGTAGCCTATTGCACCAAACGTGCATTATTTTAACTTCCTATAGACGACCAAACGTGGTAATGAACAGTACTTTTGGAAGTGTAGCACTGTTCTATTTACTTTTTTCTTGTTTTATATGCTACACGGAGTGTGGCGATGGAAAACACCAATGGCTGGAGATAATTGGTGACATGGCTCAAAATCGTTCTCAATGGCTGGTGCAGATGCATCCACTCCCTGTGACTTATAATACCCAATGAAACTATATCGCTCCTCAATATTACTATTCTTTTTGCCTCATCTCTGTTTACTGTCTTTAATTTGCGTTTCTTTTATTTTCTCTTGTTTTGTGTGCTGAGTGAAGTGTGGCGATTTAAGCTACTGCACACTTACGTTCTATGTTGAAACCAGTCAGCCAGTCATGAACAAGGACAGCAAAGACATCAGGAAGGGAACATTTCTTTATACATTCATTTCCAAACTATACAATTGTATTCAAATCTAAATTACGAACCATATCGAGTATACTAGTGTTAATGCAATTTTAAGTCATGCAACGAAGTTTGCAAACAAGTAAGCTGTCTAGCTTTCTTTACGTGACAATATCGTCTGCATATTGTACGTCAACCAACTTGTTTCCTTCTGGTTACACACCAAAAGCAACAGAACATTTATAATCCCATTAAAAAAACGATTATCAGTCTGACTTTATGAACAGCAAGGTATAATGTAATCATATCTTCGTGTCAGTCGGCAAAAATATATTGGACTGCTGCTGCGATATGAGCAATGTGATGGAAATGAATCCAACAATCCACAACATCACTTCCTTGAAGTATATGAAACTTTGTCTTAGAATGGGAAAATAGATAAGTAATAAGACCACACAGTCAGGGTCTTTTGGTGAGACTTAAGACGTCATATGAATGTTGTGGCTCAAGATATTATCAGAAGAGGCTAACGGTCAAATAAGTGTCCATATTGTTCAATTTCCAGATTTTTATACAGTAAAATACTATTCCACTACTTTTATATTTCACTGCTGTACTTCCAGATACTTATAAATTGCATCTGATATATTAAGAATGTTATTCGGAGATCCTGTGACCACATTTGTGGCGTTTAGATAGGATAAATCAAAACCTTCCTGGGTAATATCAGGTATATGCATGAAGCTGCAGTCTTGGGATGATTCAATGTCCCTATTTCGTAAAACTGAGACTTGATTTGATTTGTAGCTTTTGACCGCTTCACGTACATTATACTTAAGGAGGATATGACGAGTGGCCTCAGCTTGCTGAAATATAATAATCATGTCACTAGTAACTGGTGCTTTATTTCACCATACCACACAAATCAGATTAAATGTTGATAAAAAGGATGAATGTTAACATCAAAATACCGAATCTCAGATGACCATGAAACAAAAGAATTTATCGGAGAATCTCCCACGTTCAAGATAGTGCTACTGCCCTAGGGACATCATTTGATGTCATTCGACCATTAGACAGTAAAAGAAATATAGGTTACAGTTACCATATTCTCAAGTCAGATGCTGTAGACTATTATATCCTGATATGAAGTTCCAGTAAAAATGATTGGTGCTGGGGATGTAACTAGCCAAATAATTAATCTGGATATAAACATGCTACAATTCTGTCTTAATATGAAATGAAATTATGTCACAAAATGCACCGAAACGCAAAACTGACAACGGAAATTTGAAAAGTGTACTCACCATGAAGACAAAAGTCCCACAAACAAATTAAGCGCGCACAGTACCGCGAAAAACAAAGGTGACCGGAAAACGAATAAACCAGCTTTTATATACCGAAAATCTTTTCCGTCGTAGATGAACGTAAAATTATTAGAGTGTTTTAAAAAAGAGGTTAAGAAAGGGTGTATTCAAACTACAGCAGCCATAAACGAACCTACCTTCAGCAATCAATCGGATTCGAAGGAAGTAGATGTGCGCAGTTTGAAATGAAAGTCTATGTGCAAGTAATGCAATGTCATAAATGGTTTCGTAGGACAATATTCTTGTGTATGTTCCAAAACCCCCAGTTTCTCTCAGAAATCCTCATAGTCAGGTTCAACCAACTTCAGTAAATAAATCTGTCAAAGTCATCAATTCGTTCACTAGGCAGATTCGTTTTTGGTTGCTATATTTTAGAGTCACCAAGAAAGGTTTCAATTGATAACAGAGCCTATCTCTTAATTCCTTACGTCTCTCACATGTAAATAGTCGGTTCCAATATATAATTTCTTTATGGAAAGGCAATATAAAATACACGTAACCATTTTGGTGGATTCGCGAACTTAGGAATCATTAGAAGCATTTTAAAACAATAATTAACCCAAAATAAAAACAGAATAAATAGTATCGTGGGTTTTATTAATGATCCGATACCCAAAAATATTTATTTCGAACTCGCATAAACCTATTCGCTAATATGATCCTTTTTCTTTATGCTGTTCAAATGTTCTCGATCTGGTGCCACACACCCATCCTTCATCTTGGTGTTATTCTGGTGAATGCAGTTGGTGATGTGAGTGAGGGTTTATTTTGAGTTAACGCGATTTGTCGCGTGAGAGCTGATTCTTGGATTGATTGTGTTTGCTTCACCAAGTATACTTCTACACTACTCAAAAACAAATTGGAGATCTAAGTTTATGATGACGGTGCAAAAGAGGAAAGAGAGGAAGTAAACAGAAGAACTGATGATGAATTGGTGTGTTGAGAGCTATCTGCAAGCTAAAAATCGTAGGCAGTACAACCATTCCCGGTTGTACTTGAGTTGTGCTGAACAAGACTTTGTGCAGACTGTTTGTGAGAAGTAGATGAAGTGATTAACGTGAAGAAAAGGGTTACGTTACGAGGTTCGGATGTTCCAGTATGCACGAGAATAGTGAATTAGTGGGGATTTCAGCGTCAAGGTTCCTAAATGTATCAACGTTACGTAGCAAATACCACCATCTTTTCACTGGAGATAGAGATTAGTACGGTTACTGTGATAAAGTAAGACAAGAAATTCCAGTGACAAGCGGGAAAGTGAGATCATTTATAACTCGAAGAATTCCATGCTATTTAGAAGGCGAGGTTGCAAGACAGGTTGAAGAGATGTTAAGGGATGACATTATTGAAGAAGTCGATTGCCAATATAGTTTTCCAGTGGTATTAGTGAAGGAAAGCAACGAGAAATACAGATCTTGTGTTTATTTCTGACATTGAACAGCATAACAGAGCTGAGATAGTTGGCGATGCCAACTAAAGCAGAAACTTTAGATCTCTTACAAAGTGCGGAGCGGTTCACGGTCTTAGATCCGCGATCAGGATACTGGTGACTGCCAATAATGATTCTGGGGAATTACCCAATGCCATAAATGTAATGACTGCACTACTAGTGTCACAAAAGAAGACAAGGGCCAGGCAACAGATCGTTTATTAAGGGAATCAACACATATTTATGGATTTGCATGTACATATTATAGATTATTGTTAGAAGAAAAACACAGTCCTCTGATTGCTTGTTTCTCACAGGAAGTTAACCTTGCTTCTCTTTGTGGCTGCTTATCTAATGTCAGATCATCTATATGTTAACTGCATCCGCCTACGCAAAGCCTTTGTTCTCATTTTTCTCGCGACCAATGTCAGTCAAGTCTCATAAACTGTCAATGTCCAGCTCTTACTACGCTGGACCTCACGCTGTCCCTCGAAGACTTTCAGAAACGCTTTGTATTAACCAATGCGAAAACCAGAACACTGATTGGCGACTCAAGAATCCTTTACTCTTACTCCAATATGTAACCAACAATAAGGTTATTACACAAGGCCAACGAATAAATGTTATAAGAATAGATCACAGTAATACTTCTGATAATTTTTATTCTTCCTCTGAACAGCGAACGATGAGACGATGACTGCCGGATTAATGACCCGCGAAAAATATGGAGGAGTTGGGCTCGAGCAAACAACCATGAATTGATCGTCCAATCTTCAACTACATCGACAACCAATATTGCGGACATAAACATTGACGTAAATTACTGTCACCAATTCTGACTAACAGCCAGCTCTCACAACAGTAGTGTTCTCCTAAACTAGATCGCCCCTTCTGTATGTATGTGTGTGCGTGTGTTGAGTGGTGCTCAGCCTGATAATTCTTGAAGTGACTAGCTGAAAAAGCGATTAATACCTTACTTGTTATGGAATTTCATAAGGAATATAATTCAAGGAGAAGGGTATTCGACCTCACTGGTGTTACTGTTTACTGATGACCGAAATGTTTTGCAATTTTTTATGAAGGTTATCGCAGTTTTCCAGTGGCAGTACCTCAGATGAATTTGATTGTGTGAGAAAGTCCCAGAATTAACTTGGGTAAAAGGTTGAATGTATGCAACAACGAAGTGTAATAAACAAGAAGATAGAAACAAAGGTTTTCTGCGACGAAGTCATCGGCTAGGTTGTACACTAGCGAGTGGGTAACGTGTGTTTCCAATAGAGCTGTCCACAAATTTTCTCTTACGAAAACTTCATCCGATCAGAAGGAACCCACTGGCCGAAAACCGGTATGGAACATTCCTAGAGCAAAAAGATTATAATACGAATGTGGACTGCCGAGGAATGTGTGAGGCTATCAACTTTATTCATAATTAGTGTAAAGCAGAATTTCATTACTCTGGCAAAACATAATTTCATACCAGATAAGCTTATCTGGCTTTCTGGAAACCAACTTTTCTATCATAAAACTGTCCGAAACACCAACCGGCAACTCATAATATTCCAAGAGACTAGTGGTGCTTATGAACCTTTATTTTCACAACCATAGCATATGGCAAGAGAAGCAGAGAGTACCCAGTCAAACAAGTGGAGGAGCATCCAACACTCAATAGATAAAAAGGCCTTACAAATCATAGCAAAGATATGGTTCCTATGTGGTTACTCTTCCTGTCGTTCTTTATTCACCAATTTTTTACTCTATCCCTCTGAACCACTCAGTTGCCTACTAAATCTGAGTGACTACACTGTTATAAACAGCGATAGGGGAAAATGGACACAAGCATCAGTTACAATCAAAGTCTCTGAAGCCCTCTGACTATTGTTTGGGGATACTCACACCTGGGTGTGTACACAGCCGTACCGAAAATACTCACAACTATCTTACGAAATCCATGGAGTAACTGAACTGCCACTATTAAGAAGAGATGTCGGTCTCTTAGGTAACATGGAAAGGATGTCATCCTCAACAATCATTGTAGTAAAATGCCGGGTATGTGGCTGTGGACTCAAAAAGGTTTACACCTGTGCCTTCAGATTTCTCGGAACTGGGGCATGAGAAATGGTGCACAACATAATTCACTCCGAGACATATATTTAGAAGAGTGGTGAGCTGCTCCTCGGGATAATACAATTTCTGGAACTTATTGCTGACTAGTGTAGCCATAGCTCTGTCAGCTAATAGCTACTTCAGAGGCTGACGGTATTGACGTTAACATTCACGAATGGGCAATTTTTATTTAATATTCGGAAATAAATATGTTAAACTAAGGATCGTGCACGAACGTGACATGACGGAATACCAAATGGCAGGAATGCTTGACCGGGAGCCTTCAGCTAAACAAGTCGACTTAATACAGTGAGGGTCAGCATCCAATGTTCAGCATTGAGTGTTGTGGTCATAATTTTGGTGAATTATTTACCGTTACACTGCTATGCCGAAACTAAAGGTTTGCCCTTATTTGTAGCACTGTAGAGGGAGCAGTAATAGTGCAGGATATGTCTCGCCTCACTAACTTATCCACCCCACTGTAACTAATATTTTTTCATTTTATATCACTGTCAATATACATTCCTTTTTATGAGTTTGCTTCTTTTTTCTTACCTGCCTTATACACTATTTCTTCGTCAAGTTTTGTTTTCGCAGCGTGACCTTACCATTTTGTTCTCACACCACCACATTTTCTAGGGTATTTTTGATCCTGTAGAGGATTATTTGGCGGAAAATATGAAATACGATCACGATGCGTACCTGGACCTCAGGAACCGGTGCAATGCAAGAGTCAGGGGGGACAGGAGGTCATTCCAGGTTAACCTTGCTAAAAAACTCCTAACAAACCCCAAAAACTTGAACCGATTCATTTCGGAAAGAAAACCAACAAACCAGGGGCCACGCGCCTTAGTAGGCCCAAACGGTCAATATCTCACTAGTCTGGAGATGACTGAAACATTCGGTTCAGCCTTCGCCAAACAGCTAAACAGCAGTGTGGGTATTACAGTTATAATAATAATAATTTTATTTTCATATAAACATAAATTTACATGAAAATGCATGCCATTTTTACAGGCACGATCAAGTATGGTATAATGTCAAATCCTCAATTGTCTACAAGTTAATAACGTTTCAACAGTTAAATATTTGATACATATATATAATTACACTCATTGTCTGAACCAGGCCGTATAGTTATTGAATTGTACAGTTGTCCTCCAGGTTGAGCGGGAAAATCGACTTCGTTTCGTTTTCATCCCGTGGTTGTAGGCATACGATAACCAACCAAAATTGAGGTAAGTACAACGTTTACAAGGGATTGGAAGCTGTTTTAGAAAAGTTAAGGTGTAATAGACTAAGTGAGTGCAATATATCAATAATAAACACATTTATATAGAAAACAGCATGGGGAAGTAATTAATCCTTAGCCGACAACGTTCATTTGCAATGTATTATAAAACCAATATATTTTGTACTATCATGATGTCCACTTTTGGCTTCAATACAATTATTTTCAAGCCAGTTGTTTTTATTTCATGCCTCTTTTTCTATTTGGTGCACAACCATACCCTCCAGAGAATAGGAATAGAATAAGTCGAATCAAATTCATAAAGAACTATAAAATGTTAGGTTTAATGGAATATAATGGGGATCAAGTAAAGACGTTATTAGAAAATAAGTGAGACAAGATATTGTGAAGTGGTATTTAAAGATCTGACAATGGATAGCAAGTTAATTTATAAGATGCTCCATAAATCTGTGCAGATCCCGCGTGGTCGCATCTCAACTATAGTCTGAGCGAATGGTATATATTTAAAGGTAGAAGCATGATCTGTCAAGGCGTTCATTATTATCTTTTTCAAGATAAAGATCTCAGCCCTCATAAAAATCAGAAATATCTCGAGCCTTCAAATTGCATATTGCGGTTCCTGCAGAATGGGGTGATTCACCTTAGTGACCACCACCATATCTACTGATCAGTTACGGACCAAAATGGTGGCACTACTATTTCACAGGAGGAAGACCTAGTGGCTACTCGCCAAATAAACCCCGCAATAGTACTAAGGAAACTACAGCGACTCACACCTGGGAATTCCCAGATTGTGAAAACATCAGGCCATCTTTTCTGAAACAGTGCGCCGAAGCTCTCTGTAGGCCCCTATGCGACTTGTTCCAACACTCAACGTATTCGGGGATACTGCCACGGGAGTGGAAAAGAGCCATCCTTTCTCCAACCTTCAAGGGTGGGAATAGGAAAAATGCCACCAGTTATAGACCAGTAGCTCTACCCCCAGTGGTGTCAAAATTACTAGAAAGTATTATTGACGATCACATCAGAGAATATTTCGACAGGTCTAATATACTCTATGAAGCCCAACACGGTTTCAGGAGAGGCAGATCCTGCGTTACTAACCTACTACCAGCTTGGGACGATTGGACATCATGCTGGGATATGAATGTATCAGTCCATGTGGTCTTCCCAGACTTTGAGAAGGCATTTGACGCTGTTCACCATGACCTTCTCCTGCACAAAATAAGCCAGGCGGGTATAGGTGAGCCACTTCTGTCATGGTTAAAGGACTACCTAGCTGATAGGCAATTTGGCACTAAGGTCAATCGAGTCCGATCATCCTGGTGCGGCCCGTCATCAGGAGCGTCGCAGGGTTCTATGCTAGGACCACTGATGTTTTTGATTTTTATCAATGATCTACCATGCCGTCTAAGCTGCCCCAATCTTCTGTGTGCTGACGACGTAAAGATATGGAAGGCGATAAATTTTCCGGAGGACTCAGATAGGCTGCAGGAAGATTCAAATCTTCTGAAAGGCTGGGTGATGGCCAGTGGCATGACTTTCAACCTGAAAAAGTGCAAAGTAGTGAAGTTGCGCAACTGTGGACTGCAGAATGCAAGTTACACCCTGTGCAATGAAAAGTTGTCATGCACAACGTCGAAACGCGACCTAAGTCTAGTTCTAACGCAGAAAATGGACACAAGCGTAATTTACATGGGGGATGTAGCAAGGACATATGCGGTCACATACTTTACACATAGACAGTTAGAGGCACTCACTCCTGAGCTCTTTCGAAGGTTGTAAAAAACATACGTCAGGCCACACCTTGAGGTGCACAATATTAGTGAACCCCCAATGCTGAAAAGAGACGCCAATCTATTGGAAAAAGTCCAACGACGGGCAACAAAAGGAGTGGTTGGTCTCCGAAACAAACCATATGATGAAAGGCTGAAGAAATTAGGCCTGTTCACACTTAGTTACCGTCGGCTTAGGGGGGATTTGATTACTGCCTACAAAATAACAAATGACCAGAATCACCTAAACAAAGGTGTTCTGCCATTGAGTAGGTATAGGCTTCCACGTGGAAATCCAAGAAGGATAGCTCACCAGAGGGTAAGGACCCAGGTGCGCTCCCACTTCTTTTCACAACGGGTTTGCGGTCCCTGGAATTCCTTACCGGCAGATGTAGCTATGGCACCGTCTTTGGACGCCTTTAAGCGAAGGCTGGACAGCCATGCAGCGACACAAGGACTGCATCCAAATAGCCTATCCCCTTAAAATCGCATACGCTATTCAGGGGTGGACAATTAAACTCGTCGTTTTACTTCTTTACATTCTCTCCCGTCTTACTCTCCTGATAACTTTATCTACGCTTATTATTATTACTATTGTTATTACCGATATACGCGTATATTATTCATATTATTCTTCAAATTTAATCAGCTGACTGTTGTTACGTTTTCTTATTTCTTTTCTGTCTGTTAGTCTAAATAACCTCACTAATTATGTCTGTTATTATTATTATTATCTCTTTTCTGTTGTCGACAATACCGGAGGACTAACTGGTGAAAGGATCAACTCTATTCACAGTAGTAATAGTCTTGACACATCTCATACTACAAACCACATATAATTAATCCCAGCACCACTCCCTTTGGAGACAACCGGAGCTACGACAGTCGAGTGGTGGGACGAGCTACGCAGAAGTTTACTGAAGATCAGGAACCTGTAAGAGCTATTAAGGCTTAGGGTAGACCTCAACTCTAAACACTCTTACAAAACTTCTTCACCGTTTTACGACCTTAGCTGTACGCTACTCAACGTGCAAATACTGACGAACTGAATCAAGGTAAAAAGACTTGGTATGACAAGTGTATCTAGGACAACTGTATTTTACACAACGAAATATGAAATTCAATAAATAAAGAGGTTGTACTACTCATCTGCAGACTTCAATGGAAGTAGGCTCGGAGAGTGTGCAGAATGAAAGCACAACGAGAGAGCGAACCAAATGAACGTACGGAAGAGTCACAACTCAAAAGATCAAAGTGTGTCAAAGATGGGTGAGCGAGTTTAAACAAAAGTTCAAGGGTACAATGTGCACTACAAACCCATACTTTACAATCAAGAAGCAAGCACAAAGAAATCAAATTGGTTTATACTAGCTCGTAAAAACGATATTGGATATTGGAAGGGTTCAGAAGAGCTTGGTACAAACCATACATTCTCTCCCAGAATAAAGTACCTAATCTTATTTCGCTTAGAAGAGTTGCTGAAGGTTAAAGAGTAGATTCTGTGTGCTGGGGCGGAAGAAACTGGGAAAGTTGAAAGATAACATGCAGTCAGTACTAAGAAATCAGGTTTAGTCAAGCTTGCCATTTAGATATTGGATATTGGACTGAAACCTAGCTGTATAGTGGCGGGAGCGGGTTTACGATTGGATTTTCCGTCTAACTGACAATGAGTGGTGAGTTGCTATGTTTTTGCATGTGATGGCTTTTCAGATGAAGTTGGGGCTTTGGTTTTCGACTTTGGATCGTATTCTCTCAGGGGTGGTTTTGCTGGGGAGGACAACCCAAAGGTTTTTTTTTACCATAAATTAATACTAGTTAAGGTTGACATTCCAGCGACACTTGGCATTATTGGAAATGAAGAAGGTCTGCCACCTAAGAGAATTGTTGGCCACAATATTTTAGTCCCACGCAAAGGAGCAGAACTTCAGTCATTTTTGAAAGATGGATTAAGTAATGCTAATGTTGAAATTATTTTTGTATAGTTGATGACTGGGATGCTTTTGAGGATGTCATGAGCTATATGTTACACTATTTAACACCCGAAGAAGCTAGTCATCACCCTATACTCTTTTCGGAGCCTTCGTGGAATACAAAATCAAAACGAGAAAAAATCGCCGAGATTTTGTTTGAAAAGTTCAAAGTGTGTCCACTTTTATTTAGTATTTCTTACTACTCAGGTTCCAGCATTTTACATTGCCAAGAATGCTGCTCTCACGTGCTTTGCTAATGGGAGGCATACAGGATTGGTTTTAGATTGTGGTGCTATTCATACATCAGCTGTTCCAGTATACGATGGTTTAGTACTTACTCAAGAAGTTGTGCGTTCCCCACTTGCTGGTGATTTTGTAGTACAACAAGCACAGAGGTTACTTCTGGACGAACTTAAGATGGAAATCGTTCCGTATTATCGGGTAGCATCCAAGGTATGTTCTTATTACGTATGCTAATGCGCATGTAGTACAGAGCAGTTGCTTGAAGCAAATAAGATGCTTAAATACCTAGAAGGCATATTTTAAACTCATAAATTTCCTATAAGTAAATTTACTTTTCCAAGTTTGGTGACTCGACATGAGGAGCATATATACACTGTTCTATGCTGGCTTTCCAGACACCCGCCAGTCTCATAAAATGGCAATCGTTTTGATTTTGATTCAATTTTTAGTGTATGGGACTAGGTTTCATTCCAAGAATTACATCACTGACTTCAAATAAAGTACTCGTATAGGGAAACCACAGTACAGTGCATGAAATTGCTCTGGGTGACCTGTATATCTGGTTCAAGTCCTAGTTTGGTAAGCATATTAGTTACCTCTATCGAAACTAACATTCAAACTATGCTGTTCACTTTTTCCAAACTGATTACCCAACATTCATTTAACCCAATCTCCTTTCAGATAGCATTTCTAACAGGGAAAGCCAGTGGTTCGGTGATACATGTGTAATATTATCAGCAGTCATGTCAACTGAAAACCTTTTTTTTATCCAAGAGTGTATAAATACACCTATTGTTGTCACTAGGAAACAAAACACCCATTGTGATTTTGAGTTTCGTAGAGAAAGTCCCTGAAGAGGATTTAACAACCATCCAGTGCTCCCTGGTTTTCACTGATTTTTTGGTGTCGATTCCTGATGGAATCTTCACTAGAAACCAGTTCGGCAAGTTATCATCTTTTCATATCTTTCGGTGGCTCTTTCACGACCACTATAAGCACTTGTCAGACTCTATTAATTCTCTTCACTCATCTTCTTGTCTACCTCTGTGGGCTATTTGGAACGTGGCAACTCGAACTGCTGCACTTCGGTGCCAAGTTCTATGTTGAATCCAGACAGACAGACAGACTATAAGCACAAATGCCTTAAAAGCACAGTCCGATAACTAGTCAAGTATCTCAACATCCCAAAAGAGTGTTTAATCGAATGTAATTCCAAGATTGTGTAGCTATACAAAAATGCAACATGTACCTCTAATTACAAGCCATCGAACCGTATAATTGACTGTAGTATGTATTTTTGCAGTCTCTTACATATTCACGTAGAATTTAACTTGTCATTTATCATTAAATATCCTAAAATAGGAAGTCAAAATAACAAAAAATCCTAAGGTTTCGAAGTTTTAATTGTAAAGGAAACAATAAAACTATTGTTTTGGCCAATGATGCGCGTCAGCTAGTGGTTTCGTATGCTTTGCCGTAGATCAGACTGGATGAGCAAAGAGTAATGATAATGTTCAGTTACCCAGGTTGATTTAAGTGAAGTAGGGATTGTACCCTAGATCTGTTAATTTTAAGTCATGTTTGGTTCACTAAATGTAAGTCAATGCACCACAGCTAGACAACAGTAAGAGAAAGTGGTTTATGTAAAACCAGTGGGTTTACCTAATCTGGAGTACTCTGTTGGTTGATAAGTAGTCATAGGTATAGTGATTTTCAGTTATTTTCCATCCAATTTATTTTGTAGAAGGTCCATGTCTTGTTTCATGAGATTTTAATCTAAATTTAGAGTGATAATATGTAAGCGGTTTGATGTATATCATTCATCTCTGTTTCGGTGTTTGGTGCTAAAATCCTAGACGGTAGAATTTCAACTCTTCTTGGAGAATTTGAGCCGTTTTTGGCTTATTTAATTATGCAACCTCCCAGCTATCCGTTTATTTGTCGTTGAATCAGGCTTTTGATACACAAATATTTTATGTTTAGTTTGGTCGTACCAAAGTGACTTCATAACTTTGTAACTTTCTTTATTCCCGCGCCCTCTGTCTGTGATGCTGAACAATGTTATACGTTGAACCAACCAACGACTCCTTAGGGATGTGTAGTTCAGTGACTTTCTCATTCATATGTAACCTTATGGTTTCCGGCTGTTGTTTCTGCCCGACCTGTTTCGAACTGAGCAAGCTGATATCATATGACGTCACAATGTATAGATTACAGCTTGACTTAATAACTGTACCTACTAATTTTTCCATCAAACTACTGTAGAATGATTTGTTACTACGAAGCTCCTGTAACAGTGAGCAGGCTAACTCCTCACACCAAATAAGATACTTATCTGCTTATAAATAGGACTTTGTGCATTGTCTATGCTTTCTTTTGGACTGTATCGGTCAGATAATTAGGTCGTTATATTATGAGCATTTAAATATGCTAACCATAGTTATATAGGTATATAGACAGAGCAAGTTGGCTAGCTGATAATGTATTCAGCCTTTACTGCCTGCCTATGCCCACCTGTATCTTGTATATTTCTGAACATATTCATAAGTTTAAAAATTGTGAAGTTTGTGACTACTTGGTGTTACTCACCAATATCGCACTCGAAACCCGATGCTATTTAGCATTCTAAATAACTATCAATGGGGCTTAGTGTCGGCGGCACAGCGGTTAGGACACTCGCCGATCATACACATGATCCGGAGTTCTGTCCCCGGCCACAGACGCACTCTTTTACCTCGCTAAGCCAGTAATAGAACTGGCAAAGAGGGGAGGTTGGGCTTGAGGCTAGTTTCGATAGCGGTTAAACAAAAAGCAGCTACCCAATCCACCATTCTGATACAAACAATTTCATGCCGGATCGGCCGTGGCCCGGATTAACAACGACCGCGCTTCCTGCTGCCGTGTCACAGGGCAGGAGTGATAAATATGCTACTGAGACACACAAAACAAAAAGAACAAACAAAAACAGGCCGCGTGTGACCGGCCTCAAGCAGTTGTCCCCTGGGCTCTGCGGTCACGCAACCAACTTCCACGGTGTGGGCAGCCGGGAAGTAACAATCGCCCTCACAATCCGAAACGCACGCGAAACCTCTCTATTACTCACTCATCTTTGTCTTCATCTCTATCATCTTGCCTTCCTTCCACTGATGCAACTCCTCGACTTGATAGCTCTCCACTTCCTCTCCACTCTGCGTCCACTAAAAACGATGGAAGCCAAAAAACCACCACCGACAGCCTCTTAAAGCCGCGCCACCAATTTCATATAGGAGCTCTTAATGTTAGGACACTTTGCCAAATAGGACAACAAGCATCACTAGCCAAGACCCTGGCATCACGAGCCATTGATGTATGCTGTGTTTCAGAAACACGCATACAAGACCCAAGTGTGGTTATTCACCTAACCCCACCTGGCCAACAGGTTGAATCTGCAAAATTCACCTTGAGGGTGTCAGGAGATGCCACAGCTAGTTCACGAGGATTAGCTGGCGTAGGGATAGCTTTGAGTACTAGGGCAGAAAAGACATTGCTTGACTGGATCCCGGTAGATAGCCGAATGTGTGCTGTCCGTCTGAACGGATCAGTAAGAAGGAGGAAGGACTGCACTACTCGCCGATGCCTTTTCGTAATCTCCGCCTACGCCCCCACTGACTGCAGTTCAGATGAAACGAAGGATGAGTTCTACCAAAAGCTGTCTAGTTTGGTGCGAAAGGCTAAACGCTCAGACATAGTCGTTCTAGCTGGTGACTTTAACGCTCAAGTAGGGAAATTGTGTCAATCTGAGAAGGATGTCGGTGGCACCTATGGAGTTCCGTGCCAGCGAACCGACAACGGTGACCGTCTCCTACAGTTCTGTTCTGATAATCATTTGTTTCTTGTAAGCACTAACTTCAAACACAAGGAGAGACACTGTTTGACTTGGAGACCCCCTTCATCAAACCAACGCTGGACACAAATAGACCACATAGCAATAAGCTATCGTTGGCGTGGGTCGGTAGGAGATTGTCGCTCCTTCTGGAACACGTGTGTAGATACCGACCATGCACTGGTCCGCGCTCGGGTGTGCTTACGACTGAACGGACGTAGGAAACAGCTGGCGGTAAAACCATCACGTCCCCAGCTCGATCAGGAAACTAAATCCGTATTTGAGGAAGAACTAGCTAAACACATATCTGTGTTCGACAGCTGTGCTCACCCTGAAGAAGCTTGGAAGAATATCCAGGCAGCCGTAAAAGCTGTGAATAAGGTAAACCCAAAGGTGAGTAAAAACCACTGGATCTCCACCGCCTCATCCGAACTGATAGATGCTAGAAGACTTATTCCGGCGAGCTCCGAATTCAATGAGGAGCGAAAGCTGCACAAAAGGAAACTTACGAAAAGTCTCCGCAAGGACCGTGAACAGTGGTGGGTGACAAAAGCCAAAGAGATGGAGAAAGCTTCGAGGATAGGCAACACCAGGCAACTCTTTAGACTCATCAGGGAAACGGGTGGGAGAAGACAAATCATTAGTGAAACAATCTCGGAAAAAAATGGCACTATAATTAGCTCCCAGGATAGACGACTGGATCGTTGGAAAGAGCATTATGAGGAGCAGTTTAATTGGCCCACAGCCACGCTCAACCTTCCGAGCATCCAACACCTCCCTGAATGGGATATAGACACAGGTCCTCCATCCCTAACTGAGGTTACTAAAGCTGTCACCAATCTGAAACTAGGCAAAGCAGCGGGACCTGATGGAATGACTCCAGAGGTATTTAAGTACGGTGGAGACAGCTTACTGTTTGCATTAACTGAGGTACTAGGCAGCGTCTGGGAATCAGAAGAAGTCCCATCGGGTTGGTGTAAGTCACTGATTATCCCCATATACAAGAAGGGAGACAAGTCTTCCTGTGATAATCACAGAGGGATTAGCTTGACTAATATAGTATCTAAAGTCTTAGGCTCAATAATCATGCGTAGACTGAGTGGTGCTCGGGAGGCACAAACACGAGAGAGCCAGGCAGGCTTTAGACCAGGAAGAGGGTGTATTGATCATATCTTCACCCTCCGACAGATTCTAGAACATAGGCATTCCTACCGGCGTCCAACAGTCGTCATATTTCTTGACCTAAAGGCAGCATTCGACTCTGTCGATCGAGAAGTTCTCTGGAGATGCTTGGCTGTAAAGGGAATTCCGAGAAAATATATTGCACTGATTAAGGCACTCTACTCGTACTCATACAGCCAGGTGAGGGCTTACGGCGAGCTGTCATCTGAACTGATGACGACTAGTGGTGTCCGTCAAGGATGCCCATTATCCCCTTTTCTATTCAACTTCATCATAGATGTGTTAATGGACTTAACCCTAAGTGACTTCAGCGACTCAGGGATTGACTTGCTATCAGGGAATAATCTCGTTGACTTGGAATATGCAGACGATATAGTCCTTCTAGGCGAAGACGCTGACAAAATGCAGAGTCTTCTAAACACCTTGAGCCGCAATCTACGAATGTTTGGCATGCGATTCGCTCCCGCCAAATGCAAGATGATGTTACAGGACTGGACTACATCGACTCGTAGTTTAAAAATAGGAAGTGAAGTGGTAGAGCACGTTGACCGCTTCACTTATTTGGGAAGTACCATCAGCCAGTGCCAACGGGTTGATCTCTGACGAAATCTCAGCACGAATACAGTGGGCTCGTTTGCCAGTTTACACCGACTCTGGCGTAGACGAGATGTTCGACTATCGACCAAAGGGCGGGTGTACTGCTCATCAGTCCGCTCCGTCCTCCTTTATGGCTGTGAGACCTGGCCACTGAGAGTGGAAGACATGAAAAGACTAGCTGTGTTTGATCATAGGTGCCTGCTCACTATCTCGCGTGTAAAGTGGCATAATAAGGTGAGCAACATTGAAGTTAGGCGTCGAGTTCTAGGTAAACAGGGGAAATCAATCGACGAAGCCGTGAAGTTACATCGACTGAGATGGTTAGGACATGTGTTACGTATGCCTAGCCATCGCCTTCCTCGACGAGCAATGTTAGTGGATATAGGGTCAGACTGGAAAAAAGCTAGCGGTGGTCAAACAAAAACTTGTCATCAGTCAATGAAATCCACAACAGTTAGTCTAAGCTTCGTAGGAAGGTGCAGACTTCCAGGCTGGGGTCCTCGGGACGGTAAAAACCAATGGTTGAAAATAATTGGTGACATGACTCAAAGTGATCGTTGTCAATGACTGGCGCAGATGCATCCAATCCTCGTGACTTATGATTTACAATGAAACTATATTGTTCTTCAAGATTACTATTCCTTTGTCTCACACTCCTGTTTACTGTCTCTACTATGCATTTCTTCTACTTTCTTCTCTTGGTTTGTGTGCTACATGGAGTGTGGCGACTTGAACTTCCGCACAATTGTGCAAAGTTCTATGTCGAAAACAGACAGACAGAAACTTCAAGCCTCTAGCGTGAAGCCCTATTTTCCACTGGGAATGTGAAGGTATAAAAAAACCAATGAGATTTGGGGACCGTCGATTGACATCGCTCGCCAGGCCATCGCTCGAGTGGAACCCAAATGCGAAACTACGTGAGAGGCATCCGAGGGTAACATGGAGGACAGATTGTGACAAAAGGAGGTCAGAGGTTATGGGCAATAATGGAGCCAACTGAAGAGGGCTGCAGAAAAGAAACGCAAAGTGGAAACGTTCTATTGAAGCCCTTTTTTCCACTTACAACTCAAGGGAACGATAATAAATCATCAATAAGATTGAAAGATGACTCGTATTTTCCTATACCTTATTCATCGCTTATTTAGTTTGTTTCGTGTCATTTGTTTTTAGTGTCTAAGTGTCAAACAGCCTAAATTGTCAAATTTTGTTTAAAAATTTTATACGATACTGTTCATGAGTATTTTTATAGAGTTATAGTAGGCAATTTCGCGCATATTTGTGACTAAGCTTTCAAATTGTGCTATCATTATGCTTGAACTTCTACACAATACTGTCTGTCTGTTTCCGACATAGAACTTTGCACAAAGGTGCGGAAGTTCAAGTCGCCACACTCCATGTAGCACACAAACCAAGAGAAGAAAGTAGAAGAAATGCATAGTAGAGACAGTAAACAGGAGTGTGAGACAAAGGAATAGTAATCTTGAAGAACAATATAGTTTCATTGTAAATCATAAGTCGCGAGGATTGGATGCATCTGCGCCAGTCATTGACAACGATCACTTTGAGTCATGTCACCAATTATTTTCAATCATTGGTTTTTACCGTCCCGAGGACCCCAGCCTGGAAGTCTGCACCTTCCTAAGAAGCTTAGACTAACTGTTGTGGATTTCATTGACTGATGACAAGTTTTTGTTTGACCACCGCTAGCTTTTTCTCAGTCTGACCCTATATCCACTAACATTGCTCGTCGAGGAAGGCGATGGCTAGGCATACGTAACACATGTCCTAACCACTCACATCTCAGTCGATGTAACTTCACAGCTTCGTCGATTGATTTCCCCTGTTTACCTAGAACTCGACGCCTAACTTCAATATTGCTCACCTTATTATACCACTTCACATGGGAGATAGAACGCAGACACCTATGATCAAAGACGGTTCGGCAGTCTTTTCATGTCTTCCACTCTCAGTGGCCAGGTCTCACAGCCATGAAGGAGGACAATACTATCACTGTTTACTGTATCTATGATTCCAAACTTAGTGTGCTAGAACTCATACAATTACCTTTTTTTCTATATTACTGATAATCGTTTTCGTTGTTATTATCACTATACAAAATCAAAACGTATCTTCGTTTCCTATTATCACTTTAGGAGCCTGTAAATGAGCGTGAACCAGCGAAATGGAAAGAGCGACCGAATCTACCACCTGTTTCTTCATCATATGAAAACTATATGTTGAAAGTAAGCATTTATAACAATACTTAAGACTATCATTCATTCTTCATATTGTTGGTTTAATATGCAACTGGTACTCATCATGCGTTAAAAGTGGATAGTTCTAAATTATGTGTATTGATGGATGACAGTCTTACATGCATAACACTAATATGTCTTTTGGGTAAATTAATTGTACTAGACTTGCCATTAGTTCGTCGTGTGTAGCCGTGGTTCATTGCTTTCGACTTCCGATTTCCATTCAATGCAGCATGAGTTCTTACTCTTCTCCGTTTTTTTTTCGGCGTTTCGATATCCTAGTGGAGTCATCAACAGTGAAGTAATAGGTATCTCTCACTGTTAAATTAATGTTTTGGGTAGTTGTTTGTTTAATGACTTTTGTTGTTATATATTACATAAAATGTAATTAAAAGGAAACATCACATCATATGTTGTTGTATTCGCAGTTGTATTTTGATAATGATTGATACCAACAAGACCATTAGGTTCACACATCCAAGTGTGAATACTACTCAACACACCGTGTTTTGGTAGTCTTGCAACATTCCTCCATTGATATTCCTTAAGTTGCCGGGGAATATATTTTCCATGTTCCATGATATGAGTTACATGTGGTACTACTTAGCTCTACTGACTGAAGTAAGTGGAGCGGGATTGAATACGCCTACTCATTGACTGAAAGTCAAGCGCTTAAAAGCCAATGAGTTATGTCGCTGCAATGAAACGTAGACAGTTCATAAACAATATTTGTTGTTCATAGTTTATTAGACGAATCTATCTATACGTGTTTGTTAATTTGGATTATTATGTATCATTTTAGTTGTCATAATGTGTTTTATCATGTGGAGTTTTGTTGTATATCACACTGACCCATACAAAAGTGGCTTGTTCCATTCAGAGCTATTCGATGAGCTGTCAAATTCTCATCTTTACATGTCCTTTACAATGCTACAGAGGTTACGTTCATAGACACTTTGTTTCACCTGATTGCGATTTCATAATATTAGTATATCTGTAAACCATCAGTGGAGCTATGGTTTAATGTTTTAGGCACTGGAATTCCTCTTAATCCTTGTGTCATTGGTTTGAATATCACTCCCTCTATGGTGACGGTTTGTGAAAGGTTGTATTGTAACGACAGAAGACAAGGGTCAGGCAACAGATTGTTTATGGGCAAAATCAATGTGTATTTATAGATTTTTATGTACATTATTGCTAGTGGAGAAGCAACGTCTTCTGATTGGTTGTTATGCTGTTGAAAGTTATTCTGTACTGCTTGTAACTGTCTCTCAGAAAGTAAAGCCATATGTCTGCGAATCGTATTTACACAGTTTAAGTCTGCTGTGACTGGTGGTTGAGTTCCTCAAGGTTAAGTTTTGTTATTGTTTTTCTCGTGATCACTATTCGGGATGTAACATTGACTTAAATTATTGTCTACAATTTTTGGCTTGCAGCCAGCTCTCACCACAGTATCATGAACCTTCACATAATAGATGGCTAGTTCATTGTCAGCTTCCTAGGAATGTTGGTGGGTGTTGAGTAGTAAAATTACCCATTTTATATAAGCCTTACAGCTAATTTTCGCAGATAACTAATAAGAAACTGAGGACTTATAAAAAAGGTTACAAGGACATTGTTTTGATTGAACACTAGTAACTAGTGTGACGCGGGTTCGAATCCCAGAAGGGACATGAGTTCCTTCAAGGTTGCAGATACGCCTTGCTGATGAGTGCCAACTAGCACGAAACCTAGGTCCAAGTCTTCCTGTGGCCGATTGCCTCCAACCATCTAATATCATCAAGAACATCGTTTCTTCGTGCACTATGATCATTATGGCATTTAAAGTAATTTTTGTGACAAAATCACAAGTTTTGCAGCCAGTGAGAATTGAGAGTCTAATTCATTTTATGTATATGCGCTCGAAACGTCATCAAATAAATAATACTGCATCACTGTTTGTTTGTTTGACGATGGCATTACACTTTGTCATAATGCGCAGATTCTAGTCTTATATCAATCTTTAACATTGCATATGTCTATTTTTAAATATTTTAGTGTCTCATGCAAGATTTTGTGGCATCAGTTTTACAAGTTTCTGAAGATCGATATGATCAGAGGTAAGCTGTCGTAACCTAGGTCTTTCCTTTCATTTCTTGTTCGATTGTTTCTACGTCTAGTTGCCTAATTCTAAGTCATAAGCTAACATTTATTTCTTCGTCTGACGTGAATTTTTTCTGTAGGTTTCAGGTTGAGGAAATTAGTTAATTAAGAACGCATAAGTTAGCTAAGAGATCCCTTTTCGTAACTTCACTTCAAAGCTGTACAGTTATTTAGGGGTCTATATATATATATATATATATATATATATATATACGATGTTAATTGACAACAAATAATATTGTAGCGCGATCTTTCTGCTGACGACTCGATCTTCGTTTGTATATGACTCTAAGTGAAGTCTCTGTTGGTAGTTTGACTAGAAGTAATGTAGTGCTCTAGAATGGAGCTGTTGTCTGTTCTACGTCCACCTGTCGACATATATAATTATGCAAGTGCTTGTCAGTTGAATTGCTCCAAGTGCTTGTTCTCTGATAGTTCCATCGTTATAGATAACTCGTCTACTGGTCTGGTATAGTTAATATGATTGGTTACTGGCTGACATCAGTTAGAGCACCAGTGAAAAAGCTGGAAGTACTGAAAGCTGTTTCGTCCTAGTTTGGAGACCTTCAGCGATGTGCACTCGCCTGGGTTCGAACTCAGGACCTTCTGGCTACGAGGCGAGCTCGCAGACCAATAAGGACCTGATCCAATAGTCCATGAATTCCAAATTCAGCCAGTTCGTGATATATATATATATATATATATATATATCACTGCCACACAGGCGATTAACTATGATCTTCTGCCGAATGTAAGATTTTGTTACAGGACTGGACTACACTGACTCCTAGCTTAGAAACAGGGAGTGAAGTGCTAGAGCACGTCGACCGCTTCACTTATTTGGGAAGTTGCATGAGCTTCAACGGGTCGACCGCTGACGAAATTTAGCATGGATACAGAGGGCTAGTTTCGCACATGTCAGTTTACTCCGTCTCTGGCGTAGACGTGATATTCCGCAGACTATCGACCAAAGGAAGTGTGTACTGCTCAGCAATCCGCTCCATCTTCCTTTATGGCTGTGAGACCTGGCCACTGAGAGTGGAAGACATGAAAAGACTGCCGAGCTGTCTTTGATCATAGGTGTCTGCGTTCTATCTCCCATGTGAAGTGGTATAATAGGGTGAGCAATATTGAGGTTAGGCGTCAAGTGCTAGGTGGGTGGGGGGCGGGGTGGAATCAATAGACGAGGCTGTGAAGGTACGTCGACTGAGAAGACGGTTAGGACATGTGTTACGTATGCCTAGTCATAGCCTTCCTCGACGGACAATGTTAGCAGACATAGGGTCAGTGTGGTTGGAAAAGAGCCAGTGGTGGTCAAACCAAAAGATGGCACCAGTCAATGAAATCCACAACAGTTAGTCTAAGTCACGTAGGAAGGTGTAGACTGGCTTCCTGGTTGTGGTCTTTGGGACGGTAAAAACCAATGGTTGAAAACAATTGGTGATATGACTCAAAGTCGTTCTCAATAGCTGGTGCAGATGCATCCACTCCTTGTGACTTATAATACCCAATGAAACTATATTGCTCTTCGATATTACTATTCCTTTTGCCCCATATCTCTGTTTTGTGTCTCTATTTCGCGTTTCCTTTTACTTTCTTCTTCTGTGGCTTTTTGCGCTGAGTGAAGTGTGGCGACTCGAACTGCTTCACATCGGTGCAAAGTTCTTTGTGGAAAACAGATGGAACTGTCCTCTTATCTGACTTCGTGACTTGGTTACGACTTCTCACAAAAGCCCCAGATAACTTCCCATTTAGGGCCAGTCGCTAGTGAGCATCAGATTAATTATCCAGTGTTGGATCAATGCTGTAACCAATCAAATTCCTGCTAATCCACACTTGATAATATACAAATATCATATAAATGTTTCTTTATTAAGGTTTCACGATTAGGTTAGTGTCAATACAATGGAAGTATTTGTTTATGAACAGTATACAGAATAGACAGAATGGATTAGTCATTTATTATAGAATATGTAAGCAGTGAAGTTTGCTGGCGACTAGGGATGTATACTTCTCATGATTGCTGTACGTTACAACAGTACATTTATAGTTAAGATCAATTGCTTCTGAAAGACCCTCCTCATATCAGCTAGGCAAACATAAAACTGAACCGGAAAAGAAAACTGCCAAAATGTGTTTGTTTGTCAGAATGTGATAACCAAAATAAACGACCGGCTTCGGATAATCTTAAGTTAACCTAAAGTATTAGTGTTTTGATCCTGATATATTCAGTAATGAATATGTAATGTTGCTGTCGACAAATATATCGAATCAATATATATTTATGGAAATTTGACTTACCTATTTCTACATGGCATTTTTAACCAAATGTATCTGGAGATTGCTTACAACTGATTTTGTTGTTTGTCCAGAATAGCTTTCGTTTCATTTTTAACAACGATTCCTTTTTGTGCCCAGCCTTCATTTTCAGTTGTTATGTTGGGTTGGCGCAACATCTCAATAGTTTAAAACAATTAGTCCCTTTTATAAATTTTGATAGCGTTATTAGAAGACGGTGACTATCGGAAAAATGTGATGTATTAGCGCTATACATTTCGAACAATCTGATCACACATTTACTTGTCAAGTCAATATATATAGAAAGGTTAAATTAAACAAAGTAAGAGAAAACGGAATTAAGAATAATTAACACAAACGTTTGGTAATCCAATCAAATAAGGATTACCAAGGTAGGTTAAGAGTAATGACAAACTGTTTTTGAATACACAAGGGGGGCTTAAGTCTATGAATAGCTATAGCCTCAGCGTATTTCAGTAAACGCCCTTGACCGTTTTTATAGATGACCTTAAAGGCTGAGTTAACATCAATCTTATGGTTCATCTCGATTAGATGTTTAGCTATAGACGAATTTGGTAGTCTGCCACCTGCATCTATTAGCTTGTCACAATTCATATGTATATATATTGACTTGACAAGTAAATGTGTGATCAGATTGTTCGAAATGTATAGCGCTAATACATCACATTTTTCAGATAGTCTCCGTCTTCTAAAAACATCTCAATAGTGCTTATTTGTGGAATTAATTGTGTTCTCCTAGCTGGTTGATTTAATTGCGAAGCTTTCGTCGTCCTTCTGGACAACATCTTCAGCGCAAGTTTTAGCGTAAAACGATCTGCTTTGAATTCTCCATGAATGATAGAATTGTATCCCATGGCAACCATCCTCGTGACTGGTAGTCGGTTCACATCTGTATTAATCATCTTTTTATTGACTTGGAATTTGAACTCTCTCATCATGTGATTTACTTTTTATTGGCTGGTAAATTCCGTCTATATTAACATGTTCGTTAATCGCTGATTCGCTTGAGTACAAGGCTTCTAGGAATTCTCTAGCACTTTTCCTATTTCCACTGTTTAAAATTTCGACATTATCCCAATTAACGTGATATCCATAATTATCTACATGCATTGATATGAAAGAATACACTTCATGTCTTTTTACAGTTAATTTGTGTTCTTGGATTCTGATTCGAAGGGGACACCCATTTTGATCGATGTAATGTCTGTTACAGGTCATACAAATTCTTTTGTAAATGGCATTCATTTTATCTTCTTTTTCTGGTGGATCTTTTGGTTTATACAATATCGAATGAAGTGATTGGGCTGGCTGACTTGTGTGCTATATCTATTTCAAACGGTTTTAATATTCCAGCTGTTATTTCAGAGATATTTCTTATGTATGTTAGGATGCATTTTCTTGTAGTCTTTGATGATAGTTTCTTGTTGGTATTGTACCAAGTTCTTTCTGTGTTTAAATAAATGAATAAATAAAGATGTATCACACAGTGAAACAGTATCATTTACTGGATGACGTTTCGAACAAAATTTATTGTTCATAATCATGTCAGTTGTAATCACACGACTTCGAAACTTGAGTTTTATAGTTTCCTTTGTTCTCTTCTATTTGTCGTTGTTGAGGTAGTAGAATTTTCCAGTTATCTGGAAGGACAGGTGTTGAATCATTCCTATTACACGTATTTGCAGTTGATTCGATAAACAAAGCTTCTGCTATCAATCTCTCCCTATACCCTGTGACATTGGATTTTAAAACTGTCATCCTATCCCATCCTGTTGTATGGTTGTTTGTAATTGCATGTAGTGTATGCTATAGCTGGACTATTCTCTAGATTTCTTATCTTATTTGGGTCAGGCCATCTAGATATTGTTAGGTTTTAATGTTCGGCTAGTCTGACAGACTGCCCCTGTTCAACTTGTTTGACTTATTTATTTTAACCTGACAATCATTGCAGGCAGGATATTAGGTAAACTAAATTTTTGTTTTAAAGGTTCCACAGGATTGATTCTTTAACCGACAAAGCTTGTTTCTGATTGAATTTGTGGGTTTGAATGCCAGCTGCTTTTATTCCCACCTGCATTGCTAAGAATTCTGCGCAAGGTTTCCGAGATTCCTTCCTTGTATGGAATTACTGTTGATGATTTAGATTCCTTATTGTTGGTGTCGTCATTAATATTATTATCACTATTATTATTATTATTACCATTATTATTATTCTTATCATTATTATTATTATCACTATCGCTACTGTCATTATTTATTTTATTTATTAGATTTCCTTACATATTTCCTGACTAATTTATCCGGATAATTATTAAGTTTCAAGGTTTCTTTTATGTGTATCATATCTTGTCTTAGATTTTCCTTAGTACTACTTAGTTTTTGTGCTCTGTCACTTAAACATTTTACCAATCCTATTTTTACTGACACGGGATGGGATGATCTGAAGTCCAAGTATCTGTTTGAATGTGTGGGTTTTCTGTAAACACAAGTGTTTATCTTCCCATCTTCTTTCCTTCTTACGTTGCAATCTATCATTGGAAGCTCTCCTTCGTGACTTTCCAATTTATAAGTGAATTGAATTGCCTCGACCTTCGAGTTGATGTGTTCGAAAAATCTATCTATATCTTGTGTTCTGAGTACAGTGAGTGTCATCTACATACACCCACCACACTTTGGGGGTGGGGGTGAACGTTTTAATCGCCATGTTTTCCCACCTATCCATGAATATATCTGCTACCACCGGGGATATTGGTGATCCCATTGCAACTCCCTCAGTTTGTTTGTATATTTTCCCTTGGAATTTAAATACTGTGAAAGTCAGGCATAGCTGCACTTCCAGCACTATGTCCTCGGTTGGCACTTTTGTCCTAAGTTCTAATTCTTGGTTAGAAATGAGTTCGTTTCTGACTGCCTCTATAGCCATATTTATTGGTATACGTGTATGTAAACTGACAATGTCAAAACTAACCATTTTTTCTTCATTATTAACTTATTTTAAATTATCTAATCTGTGTTTTAGTTCATAAGAATTAGTTAGTCTAGATTTCGAGTGGCTTTTTAGAGGATTTAATACTATGGCTAAATATTTAGATAATTCATAAGTAGGCGAATTTCTAAAATCAATTATAGGTTTAATAGGGTATCCTGGTTTATGAACTTTGACAACACCATACATCCTACTAGGGTTATTAGTTTTGGGCATTAAATTAAACCACTTAGACTCACCTAGAAACTGCTTCATTCGGCGTATAAGGTCTGCTGTGGATTTCTTAACTTTATTCATAACTGTGTCTATTGATTTATTAATTTATTCATATGGTCCTGTTTGTATGTGAGTATTTACCTTGTCCAAATAGTCTGATTTGTCTAATACAACTGTTGCGTTTCCTTTGTCTGACTTTGTAATTACTATGTCCTTGTTGTTTATAAGGTGTTTCAGGGCTACTCTCTCTGGTTTTATTAGCTTAGGCTTTCCACATATAATACAATACCTATTATTCTCATGTTTAGTTGCTTCGATACTGAGAAAGCTGGGATTGCGTTATGCAGAATTTGATAAATTAGTCCAGATTTAAGATACTACCTTGCATCGCCGGGGAAAACATCTTGGAAAAAGTGAGAAAAGATAAACCCAAGTTGGGTTGACCAACAATTAGACGTAGAATAATAATAATAATAATACTTTCATGCTTTATAAGGAAGTTTTGCCTACTTCGCTGTTGTTGAGTTTTACTAATTGCCCTGAAAACATTTACGATGGAATGCATATCAGTTCATCTACGTTAGAGAGTGATGAGTCATAAGATATACAATTAATTCAAAGTGAATTAGTTATTACAATTTATCTTCTAAAAGGACGATATACTGTTATTATTATTATTATTGTTATTCATTCCTCGGGTTCCAGGTGGAATATAGGCCTTTATCAGCAAGTCTCAATTCCACTCAGTTCTCTGCCAGCACGTTAAACTTGTCATATAACTGCCCATGTGCTTTCATTTCCTTTTTACACGATTCGAACGGTGTCACTTTCAGAAGCCGAACTTATTGTTTACTTTCCATCTGGGTCCTACTCAAGGGTCTAACATATGACGTCGGTAATCAACGGTCTTTTTAGAGTACCTTTAAGCCGTGTCAATTTTCTTCTGAGTATTTGTTGAGCAATAGATTGTCGGTTAGCTCATTATTTATCCTTACATGTAAGCTACTTATTTCTTGCTTTTATAATCTGAATTATTTTCTTATTTTCTTCCTTTTAAAACAATATTTAGTCAAGCAGACACTTTTCCAATGGTTGGCTATGAATTTCCGAATGGATTCAATTTTGAATTAGGTCATGAACGTTTTCAACTTCCTGAGGCTTTATTCGATCCATCCATACTATTAGTGAGTGTAGCAGCACTTTTTTGTTTTGTTCTTCTGCTTATATAGCTTTGCGGGATTTTATAAGAAAGAGTCAAAACAATTCTATGATTTTTGATTTGGTTGTGTTCTCTGAGCTGTTTGATTTAATTGTGAGGTTTTGCGTTTTCCTTCTAGACCAATATACTCAGTGTAGGCTTCAGTATAAAGTGAACCTGAGCTACAAATCTTCTCTATTATTTCAAAAAAAATTATGTTATTATCGTACAGTTTCTTTTTCATGCATTGTAATATAAGGTGAGAGCTATTGAATATTACAGATAACAAACTTTGATTAATATTTAGGTTGTGGGTTTTCCTAGGGATTTGGATTACTGTCAATTTAGATGTTGTTACGAACTCACATCAGTTAGAGAGGTCACTGAAAAAACCTGCCAGGAGACCATCGGAAGCTGTTCTTTCCTAGTTTGGAACTCTTCAACAGTCCCAGGGATCATACCCTCGAGACCTCCAGGTTACGGTGTAACGACCGGAGACAAAGGCCAGGTAACAGATCGTTTATTGAGAAAATCAAGAGATATTTATATATTTAATGTACATTATTATAGGTTATTGTTAGTAGAGATTGGTTGTTTTCTGGCTGAAAGTTAATCTGTCATCTCTTTGTGGTCATTTATTTGAAGGTCATACCATATGTATAAGCGAATCGTATCCGCCCACGCAAAGTCTTTGTTCTTGTTTTTCTCATGACCAATATTTGGGACGTAAATTGCTGCCTAACAATTTTGGCTAACAGACAGCTCTCACCACAACGGGACCAAGCTCGTTGACCATTCAATAACTTGGAATAGGATTTAGTGACCTGTGAATTCTAAATTCTGTCAATTCATGATATAGCATTATTCTCGTAGATGCCTTTGATGAGCACCTACTTCACCTTGACGTAGTGGTACCCTCTGGCCACTACTTTGATTTGACTGTATCTCATAAATTCTATTGATTTGGGTGAACTGAGTGATAAGCTACACTTGCCCTGTAATTTAATATAACTGGATTAAGACTATTCACGCGATCCTGATAGTATATGTTATTGATGAGTTTCGAAGTGCAACCAAGTGACTGTCCATTTCTCCTATACTTTCGACTGATTTCACTAGTCGATAGTCATTTCGTTATTTTTTTCGTCGCATCCCTGTATTAGTTACAATCTGATAAATTTTTGGACATAGAATAATAAATTGTCTGAATTTCTTTTTCTTATTATAGGAATCTGGTGGTAGTTCAATGTTGTCAATGAGTCATATTGTTGCCAGTAGTATTAGTCTGTGTGACATTGATATTCGACCGGTGAGTTTTTGTCTGTTTAAAAGTATTTTATGTTATTGATTACTATTCATATATAATCCTTCATTCAGGCAGTGGTGCGTTCCTAGTGGAGCATAGGGCTTCAACAGAACATCTTCATTTTGTTCTCTTCTCAACAGTTCTCTTTAGCTGACCTCATGATTGCCCATTGAGTCTTGTTTCTTCCTCACACATCCTCTTCCACGTCACCTTTGAACACGGACACACACGCAACTCGTCATTGCCCATTCCCATTCTACCCAAGAGATGGCCTGGTGCGAGATGTCACCCGGCACTCTCTTCAGTGTGTGTACGATGCAACTCCATTATGTCCGGAATGTTGGCTTTCCTTGCTAATTCTTACTGGCCATCTGATCTTCAATATGGAGTCAACGAAGCCCGCTTTTGATAAAAGTCTGCACTGACCTGTTAGAAATGCTTTCTGAGACTTGTGCACCAAGTTTCTGACCCATATAGAAGCACTGACTTATTTAATATTGGTGTTAAAATTCCGAATTTTGTTCTTTATGCATAAAATGAACAAACTGATTTCAGACTGATGAAGGTCTGCCTTGCCTTTTCGATCCTGTTGTTGTCATCCTCATCCGTACCATTAGCATATAGCTGAAACGATAGTACTTACATAAGTGAAGGAAGTGACCTCGTTCAAATTTCTGCTAGTGATAATAATTGCTGCTTATTGGTTGGTTGGTTATCTTCACCACTTTCGTCTTCTCCATGTTTACTTGAAGTCATGTCTTTGCTACTTCTTCCGCGAATTTGTTGGTTTTCGCCTGTAAATCTTCGTATTTAGATGACACTACACATAAATTGTCTGCGTAGTCCAGTTCTTCTACAATCTTCTTATTGGTCCAGCGTATTCTCGTCTTCTCGCTTCCCACTCACTGTATGCTATATAATCCAATCCACCACAATTACGAATATTATCGGTAATAATAGACAGGCTTATCTTACTCCATTGAGTTTTTCTTTATGGATTTCTTGGCATGTAGCATTGTCATAGCTGTTGAATGAGGTTGATAAAGATTTGGGCACTGCATGCCGTAGTGTTGAAGTAGTTTCTAAATTACTTCGCCGTCAGTGCTGTCTAAGGCATTTTGAAAGTCGATGAAGCTGAGGTAAAGACTTTACCGCCATATATATATATATATATATTCAAAACCCCTTTTCGTTTACATGCAGTGATGGACAGTTAGTTTGAGCCATTTAGGGAGATGTAAGCTAACTGGCTTGGGTCTTCATGATTCTAAGAATCAGTGGCTGGAAACTAATTGTGCTGTGGTTTTGGTTTGACCATCACTGGATAACTCTTTTTCAACCTGATCCATCCTATGTCAGCTAACATTGCCCATCGTCGAGGAAAGCGATGACTAGGCATACGTAACACATGTCTTAACCATCTCAGTCGATATAGCTTCACAGCTTCGTCAATTGATTTCCCCTCCTTAACAGCCTAGCACTCGACGCCTAACCTCAATATTGCTCACCTTATTATACCACTTCACACGGGAGGTAGAACACAGATACCCATGATCAAAGTAAGCTAGCTAACCAGTCTTTTCATGTCTTCCAATCTCAGTGGCCTTGTCGCTACTGTTTCTCTTGTACATTCCTGCTGATTATTGTTCTTATGAATCTCTTCTGCTACATGGAGTATAGCAAAGTGAACTGTCGCACTTGTGTATACAGTTTTATATTGAAACTTAGTCAGTCAGTGCATTTAAATGTGCTGATTTAAACTATAAACTTGTTTTGTTTTTTCACTTTTTAGAGTTTATATAGTAATGTTATTGTTGTCGGTGGAAATAGTTTGATCACTGGATTCACAGATCGTTTACAAAGAGATTTAAATATTAAAACACCACCAGTAAGTGTTATGTGCTGACAATTTTGTGTTTACAGTAATCAATTTATTTTCAGAGTATGCGATTAAAAGTCAACTTTCCTAGTACTGCAGCTGAAAGACGTTATTCCAGTTGGATTGGTGGTTCTATTCTAGGCTCTTTGGTAAGCTGTATTCTGTCTTATAAACATGGAACTTTACTTGTATATCCCAGCTTAGCTTACATTAGTTAACACCTTTCTAGTTTACAGGTTTGATTACGAGCTGATATCAGTTGTTGACCTATTGTAAACCAGGAAATACTGGACAGCTGTTTCGTCCTGGTTCGAAACTCTTCATCAGTATCCATTCAACTATCGGGTTCGAACCCAAGGTCTTCCGGTTCCAAGCTCGTAGACCATTTAACCACTAGGACCCGATCAAATGGCTCATGAATCCCAACTTATGCCATTTCGCGGACACAGATTACTTATAAAAATCCTCACTATTTATATCTTTAGCAGAAGAGTTCTCCTGTTGAAACCCCTGTCTCAAATAACTGATTTTTGATACTCAGCAGTTACAAGTCCATAAAAATACAAGAAAATAAATTAGTATTTAAAACAGTGGCACTTTGAATACTGGAGAAGAATATTTTTGGACAATAGAATAATAGACCAATTCATTTTTTGATGTGAAATTGACACCAGCATGGGCAGAATAGTCACAATGTGTAATCTGCTTGATAAAATTGATGCCTGTGATGGAACTCATACCACTAAACACTACTGATTAGTTGGGATGTGTAACTGGATGCTGATAACAACAATAGTAAGTACTTGCTGGCCCCAGCTTGATCGAAGTGATCCAGACACTGTTTTTTTGTGAATCATATCCAACTACTCATATCGACCAGTCAGTAGTATATAGTCACGCCATGAAAAAATGGAATGTCTGTTTCTGTCTCTTAGAGAGTGAAATAACAATAACTTGTATTCATCCGAATGAAAATCATGAAGAGGAAAAAGTATAAGGCCTTGGGGAAGGAGGAGAGTAAAATGCGATTTGCTCAGAGTGTAGATTTACTTCATGAATTCTATAAAGAAGAATAGTTAAGCAAATTGCTGAAGCGCATGTCGCAAATGTTAATAATGACTGTTTCATTGTGTTTATAAGTTCAAACAATCCTGTGTAGCTGGTAACAGACACCGTATATATTGTTGTTATTGGAAGGTTGAAGGCAGTTGGCAGAAAGCCTTGAACGTAACGTCTCTGACTGCAGCACTGGGTGACGCGGGTTCGAATCTCAAAAGGGAAATGAGTTCCTTCGAGGTTGCAGATACGTCTTGCTGACTGGTAAGTGCCAGCTAACACGAAACCTGGATCCAAGGCTTTCTGCCAATTGCCTTCAACCACCCAATAACAAAAATATATACGGTGTCTGTTACCAGCTACACAGGATCGTTTGAACTTATAAACACAATGAACAGTCATCATTAACATTTGTGACATGCGCTTCAGCAATTTGCTTAACTATTCTTCTTTATAGAATTCATGAAGTAAATCTACACTCTGACCACTTTGCATTTTACACCCCCTTCCCCAAATCCTTTTTATATTTTCTTCTGACTAGTGTCACTAGTTAGTGTCTAGTGAAAACAATGTATGTATGTCAAAACCCTGCTAACATATGCTCAGGTTTGTTAAAAGTGCATTATTATCTTTATCGTATAAAGCATGGACACTGAACTGAATTGTAGAGTATACTTACAGTTATCACTTGACAGCACAGTTTTCATCCAGTAACTTTTACTCCCGATCACTTGTTTTTTTTTTTTTTGATAATCAGTAATTATTTCCTATCACATTATACCTTTCTATATAGGGTACATTCCAACAGATGTGGATATCAAGTCAAGAGTATAGTGAATTAGGTAAAGGCTGTGTAGATAAAAAGTGTGCATAAGACTATATACATATATATTTTAAACACGTGAAACTGTAGGATGTTTCTTTTCAAGGACAATATGTATTATATTTTTTATTCTTTGATCTTTCGCTTTTACCCGTCTCCCTCCGGTGTTCTTTCTTCTTTATAATCAAATCATTTTATTGTGTATAAGTAATAAAAAGGTGTCATTTGCATTTTTATTATTTTGTGTTGTGTCTTAAACACCTAATAATAATATAATATACACGCATTTATTGTGCTTATCTTACCGTGTTCCACATATTGTCTTTTCCTTGAATTACATGGTTATTCACAAGTATACGAATTCACCTTGAGATATGCTTTTCAGTAATATGCATCTTGGAAAATGGGGGACTTTGATATGTTTCGATTAATACATGTGAAAATGTGCTAAAACGAAATTTCATTTGTTTGGGAATTCCTTCATTGGGTGAATTTTGAATTACTCTGATTAAATCAGTGGATTTGTTTTTGATGTGGTTGTGTTCTCTAAGCTGGATAGTTAATTTTCGAAGCTTTCATCGCCCTACTAGGTGACATCTACAGCGCATACTTCAATTTGAAGTGGATTTGTGTCTGTCCTTCTAAAATGGTTTGTTTGGGTAAAGCGCTGATCTTATGGTTTGCGAATAGTTTGTTGAATTTTGTATACCTGCAAACAACAGTTTGACTAGTCATTCAACAAGGTCATATTTTTGAATTTCACTGCTATAATCTTATTGTTTTTACACTGAATATCAAGAAGCGGACCCCTCAATGGATCACAGGTAGAGTTTGATGAGGACAGCTTTGAGGCCGACCCCTCCACCCACTAAAATAAGTGTTTCAGTTTTCTGCTTACTGTGTCTTGAGGATGTTGGTCATTTGGTTGAGCACTAGTTTTCCAGCCGATGGTTTATGGGTGGTGTAACGTCAGTCCTCACGTGATAGGGGTGGTTATTGGCCTGGTTTATGAAAGATTTGTTCCGGGTAATCGACCTTAAAAACTTAAACAATCATTATTTACTAAAAAGAGATCGTCTTTTATGACTGGAGCGGCCCACAGTGCTGGGCGTTGAGACAGACACTGAGCTTTGGTAGTTATTTCACGAGTTGCCAATAATTAGAATTTATGCGTGACTGAATTTTGATCAGAGAACTCAGTAGTGGCCCGCTGATTTCCTAACTTATCTCGGTCTTGTCATTCCTAGTAAGAAGTAGTCAAACAGTGTTGTAGAGTTTCGAGATAGAATTTATTACTGCCAGTTATAGCAGCTTGCGTTAGTTAGTATACCAAGAAACCTTAACTGAGAATAATGATAATAACAGCTTTATTCCAGAGCAAATGATCACACAATATACAGGACTTTCAGTTTAATTTATTGCATAATATTTTCTACTCATGTAGGTTTTCAGTGCTGTTTGATCTAAGCGTAGAATAATCCCTTATGATAATTTCCTTTCGTCTCCTGGAGACATGCACATCAGTATTTTGAAAGCGAAGTCACAATGTGCGTGAGTACATTTTGCAATTTAAGGATATAATTGATTGAGTGATCGCATTTAACGTTTACAGTTACTACTTTTATCGTCTGACTATTGTAAATAACTTCAAGACAAATTCCAATGTTTTGTTTTGGTATCTGAGTAATTGGTAGCGGGATCATCTGAAATGGATTTGGTTTCGCTAACTGCTACCAATGTAGATGAAGGGTAAATAAAAACCCTGGGCGGGATTTAGACCGATGGTTTTAGGATTACTAATCAGGTATTCCGAACTGAGTCCATTTCTGGTAATATATGTGAAGTGATGAGCAATTACTTTAAAGTGCATTACGCAGTGATGCAAAATTTTCTGAAGGAAATCTTACAAATATGTCAACTCTTTTGATCTCCAGGATTTGATTCAGAAGGTTACTGAAATTATCAGCTTCGAAAAGTGCCAGTGCATTTATAGGTTGAAAACATTTTTTTCCTGATACGAATTTAAAACAATCAATAAAGGTTAATAAAGCATGATTTAATGACGGATTCGTCAAATTTCGGTAGAACTCGTCAACTGAATACTCTACATACACAGATATATATGTATATATACTTTTGAAATTATATTGGGAGATATAACACTGATAAGCAAATAAACTACATTGAATTAGTCATGCAGAAAGGCAGTTGTGAATGTTTTCCAGGTCATGCTCGAATGGATAAGGGAAGAGGGAGTATGAGAAATTAAAATTAAGATAAATTGCATTACGCTTCAATTACATCACTTAGATAAACATCTAGTCATTAGGAAATATAACGAGAATTGCAAACAGACTAATATCAATGGTAATAGTTATAATAATAGTAGTGTTGAAGTGAGTTAAGATGATCTTACTGATAAAGCATAGTTTTAAATGAATCAGGAATAATAATAATAAGAGGTAGAATAATAGTAATAACAAGTAAAGAATAATAAGTAAAACGTGTTACCATGGTAGATTCAGAGTGACGACCATCTCCTTTTGTACACAAAGACCTGGTTTATTGATATGTATCCACATGATGTATGTTTGTTTTTGACAGTCTATTTATTTTGCTGTCTATACGGATCGATATTTCATTATAACTGACAATATTCTTTTGTCTGTCCACTAACTAAATAAACTATGTATGACCTTGTTGTCACATGACAGTACAACCAATCATGTTAAGACTGTCTATTTATTGGTTCATGTGTATTAGTCATTTTCATATATACTTTTGTACTGTATACTTGTTCCCACGTTTTTGTACGCTACGTACCCTTCCACTGACACACTTGTGTGATATTTATTTTCCTTGTCTGGAAAATACAAATATCATCGTAAACCTGGTGGTCTTCTGATTTCCCTCTTTCCGCGTCAGGACTATTAACTACTCGACGAGTACACAACATAATTGGCAACGGGGAAAAGATACTATTAATTCACTCAGCAGCAGTTCATAACATTTATAAACTCGAATTGCACAAGCCTCTGCAATTGCAAGCATCTTGTTTCTTTGTCTGCTGACAATATTATTATTATTAGTCCGAGATACTTAATGTCAAACTTGATTTCCATATCACTGTCATCAACTTTGCAACAGTCATGAGAGTTAACAGCTGCATCTAACTTTTTTTTACATCGGAAACTGAAATTAACAGTCTGACATTTGGAAGGATTTAGTTTAAGAGCGTTTCCTGACTTCTGATAGAGAGCTGTTTATCTTAGTAGAGTGTAGCTGCCAATTAACAGACATTGGAATAGTTAGATCGTCCGCATACTTGACATAGTTCATTTCGTATGGATATGTAGATTAAGTTCGTCAAACAAAAATGCAATTGGTGATGGACGACTTCCACTGACATATCGTGTACTGCTTTCTCTCTGATAAATACGAATGAAGCCATTTGACAACCCAATACTCAGTTGAGTTTCAGAAAGCTTTATTAACAAAATATCCCTAAGTACTAAGTCGTAAACAGATGTGTAATCCGGGAAAGTGCAGCGATAAAATTTAGCCCCTTTCTCTACAATGGAGACAATGTTATGGTGCAAGACTGCAGCTGCATCTAAAGTACCTTTACTGTGTATGCTGGCGAATTGTTTGGGATCGTTAAAGGCTTTAAGTGAAGTAAGAGTTACTTTTCCAAAGTTTTTAGAAAAGGAGAGATAGTAGCAATAGGTCTAAATTTAATACATTCTCCAGTAGTTGGTTGAAAAATAGGTTCAATTTTTATGTCCTTCCGAACGGCTGACACGAAAGATTCATTAAATATGTCCATGGGAGCATAACACAGGATATCTGCATATATTTAAGGAATAAGGCTAAGCAAAAAATCTGGACCTAGGAAACAAGAAGGAATCAGCGACTGGAAATATTTTAGAACGTCATTGGTATTGAAAACGGAAGCAACTCTTATTAACACTTGTGACACTAAAAACCTTGGAATTTGTGGGAGAATGTGTGAAAGACTTGTTTAGTGTACACACATGAAATGAACAGGGAATAGTGTTGTTATACTGGAGGTAATTAATAATAATAATAACAGCTTTATTCCAAACAGCATTTGTGGTACAGGTATTTAATTTTCAGCGTGCATTACAATATATTGCATCTAATTACCTCATAAATTTTATATGATTTTAAAATCAAAAGAACAGCGTTGCGTTTACATTTTAAACAATGCACCACAGGATATGAAATATAAAATTAGTGTGTAATAGAAGATGAGAACGACAATATAATCGTAACGAAGAAAGGAAAACAAAAACTAATGGGACTATTTGTTAGAGTGCCGCAGTAAGTTGATCGTGTCATACCTAACGGATTTCTCATCACATAACAGCTGTGCAAGATAAGGTATTGTGGAGCTTTTGTACTTGGAAGTCCTAGCATATAGCCTCCTATAGCTGCTTCTAGTTCTGCCAGATGAAATGCAAGGAGAGAGCTGGTTGGTTTCACGATATCCCACTTGCCCTACTAACGGCTTTTAGTGCCCTTCTCAGCAAAGCAAAGTCTTTCTTAAGTAGTCCAGGAAAGATTAATGGGGAGCAGTAAAGAGGGATGGATAGAATACAAGACAAAGCAAAGACTGCTTTATACTACACTGCCTTAACTTCCTAACGTGGAACGTTAATCAAAACATCTTTCTAGTGACTAGCAAGATGTGGGAGGACCAGGAAAGATCGGAGGAAATACTTAGCCCAAGGTACTTGACATTAGATGTAATTTCAACTTCTAAACGGTCAATGATAGTGGGGCCATGTGAGCTAACTAGTTGTTGTAGGTCACGTTTACGTCTGAAAGTCTTGACCAAGAGCTGCTACCTTGACGTGGTGGTCGGGCTTGAACACCGCAATGACCTATTCAAGCTATACTGGCTGAGACCTATGTCTCTTGAGGTCCTACCATGCCAGGAAGGTTGTTTGGATAGCGGTTAAACAAAAAGCAGCTACCCAATCCACCATTCTGATACAAACAAAATTTCATGCCGGATCGGCCGTGGCCCGGATTAACAACGACCACGCTTCCTGCTGCTGTGTCACAGGACAGGAGTGATAAATATGCTACTGAGGCACACCAAACAAAAAGAGGCCGCGTGTGACCGGCCCCAGGCAGTTGTCCCCTGGGCTCTGCGGTCACGCAACCAACTTCCACGGTGTGGGCAGCCTGGAAGTAACAATCGCCCTCACAATCCGAAACGCACGCGAAACCTCTCTACTACTCACTCATCTTTGTCTTCATCTCTATCATCTTGCCTTCCTTCCACTGATGCAACTCCTCTGTTTGATAGCTCTTCACCTCCTCTCCACTCTGCGTCCACCAAAAACGATGGAAGCCAAAGAACCACCACGGACAGCCTCCTAAGGCCACGCCACCAATTTCATTTTAATGTTAGGACACTTTGCCAAATAGGACAACAAGCATCACTAGCCAAGACCCTGGCATCTCGAGCCATTGATGTATGCAGTGTTTCAGAAACACGCATACAAGACCCAAGTGTGGTCATTCACCTAACCCCACCTGGCCAACAGGTTGAATCTGCAAAATTCACCTTGAGGGTGTCAGGAGATGCCACAGCTAGTTCACGAGGATTAGCTGGTGTAGGGATAGCTTTGAGTACTAGGGCATAAAAGACGTTGCTTGACTGGATCCTGGTAGATAGCCGAATGTGTGCTGGCCGTCTGAACGGGTCAGTAAAAAGGAGAAAGAACTGCACTACTCGCCGATGCCTTTTTGTAATCTCCGCCTACGCCCCCACTGACTGCGGTTCAGATGAAACGAAGGATGAGTTCTACCAAAAGCTGTCTAGTTTGGTGCGAAAGGCTAAACGCTCGGATATAATCGTTCTAGCTGGTGACTTTAATGCTCAAGTAGGGAAATTGTGTCACTCTGAGAAGGATGTCGGTGGCACCTATGGAGTCCCGTGCCAGCGAACCGACAACGGTGACCGTCCCCTACAGTTCTGTTCTGATAATCATTTGTTTCTTGTAAGCACTAACTTCAGACACAAGGAGAGACACTGTTTGACCTGGCGACCTCCTTCATCAAACCAACGCTGGACACAAATAGACCACATAGCAATAAGCTATCGTTGGCGTGGGTCGGTAGGAGATTGTCGCTCCTTCTGGAACACGTGTGTAGATACCGATCACGCACTGGTTCGCGCTCGGATGTGCTTACGACTGAACGGACGTAGGAAACAGCTGGCGGTAAACCCATCACGTCCCCAGCTCGATCAGGAAACTCAATCCCTATTGGAGGAAGAACTAGCTAAACAGATATCTGAGTTCGACAGCTGTGCTCACCCCGAAGAAGCTTGGAAGAATATTCAGGCAGCCGTAAAAGCTGTGAATAAGGCAAATCCAAAGGTGGGTAAAAGCCATTGGATCTCTACCGCCTCATCCGAACTGATAGATGCTAGAAGACTTATTCCGGCGAGTTCCGAATTCAATGAGGAGCGAAAGCTGCACAAAAGGAAACTTACGAAAAGCCTCCGCAAGGACCGTGAACAGTGGTGGGTGACAAAAGCGAGAGAGATGGAAAAAGCTTCGACGATAGGCAACACTAAGCAACTATTTAGACTCATCAGGGAAACAGATGGGAGAAAACAAGTCATTAGTGGAACAATCTCGGAGAAAAATGGGACTATAATTAGCTCCCAGGATAGACGACTGGATCGCTGGAAAGAGCACTATGAGGAGCAGTTTAATTGGCCCACAGCCACGCTGGACCTGCCGAACATCCAACACCTCCCTGAATGGGATATAGACACAGGTCCTCCATCCCTTACTGAGGTTACTAAAGCTGTCACCAATCTGAAACTAGGCAAATCAGCGGGACCTGATGGAATGACTCCAGAGGTAATTAGGTACGGTGGAGACAGTTCACTGTTTGCATTAACTGAGGTTCTAGCCAGCGTCTGGGAATCAGAAGAAGTCCCATCGGGTTGGTGTAAGTCACTGATTATGCCCATATACAAGAAGGGAGACAAGTCTTCCTGTGATAATCACAGAGGGATTAGCTTGACTAATATAGTATCTCAAGTCCTAGGCTCAATAATCATGCGCAGACTAAGTTGTGCTAGGGAGGCACAAACATGAGAGAGCCAGGCAGGCTTTAGACCAGGAAGAGGGTGTATTAATCATAATAATCATAAGCACTGATTAAGGCACTCTACTCGTACTCATACAGCCAGGTGAGGGCTTACGGCGAGTTGTCATCTGAACTGATGACGATTAGTGGTGTCCGTCAAGGTTGCCAGCCCATTATCCCCTTTTCCATTCAACTTCATCATAGATGTACTAATGGACTTAACCCTAAGTGACTTCAGCGACTCAGGGATTGACTTGCTACTAGGGAATAATCTCGTTGACTTAGAATGTGCAGACGATAAAGTCCTCCTAGGCGACGACTCTGACAAAATGCAGAGTCTTCTGAACACCTTGAGCTGCAATCTACGAATGTTTGGCATGCGATTCGCTCCCGCCAAATGCAAGCTGATGTTACAAGACTGCACTGCAGCGACTCGTAGATTAGAAATAGGAAGTGAAGTGGTAGAGGACGTTGACCGCTTCACTTATTTGGGAAGTACCATCAGCCCCAACGGGTTGATCTCTGACGAAATCTTAGCAAGAATACAGGGGGCTCGTTTCGCATTTGCCAGTTTACGCCGACTCTGGCGTAGACGAGATGTTCGACTATCGACCAAAGGGCGTGTGTACTGCTCATCAGTCCGCTCCGTCCTCCTTTATGGTTGTGAGACGTGGCCACTAAGAGTGGAAGACATGAAAAGGGGTAACTCGCTGTCTTTGATCATAGGTGCCTGCGCTCTATCTCCAGTGTGAAGTGGTATAATAAGGTGAGCAATATTGAAGTTAGGCGTCGAGTTCTAGGTAAACAGGGGAAATCAATCGACGAAGCTGTGAAGTTACAAAGACTGAGATGGTTAGGACATGTGTTACGTATGCCAAGTCATCGCCTTCCTCGACGAGCAATGTTAGTGGATATAGGGTCAGGCTGGGAAAAAGCTAGCGGCGGTTAAACAAAAACTTGGCACCAGTTAGTTTAAGCCAGTCACGTAGGAAGGTGTAGACTTCCTGGTTGATTGTGGTCCTCGGGACGATAAAAACAAATGGTTGGAAACAATTGGTGACATGGCTCAAAATCGTTCTCAGTGGCGCAGATGCATCCACTCCTTGTGATTTATGATTTACAATGAAACTGTTTTGTTCTTCGTTATTACTCCTCCCTTGTCTCACACCTCTGCTTACTGTCTCTGTTATGCTTTTCTTGTACTTTCTTCTGTTGCTTTGTGTGCCACACGGAGTGTGGCGACTTGAACTGTCGCACATTTGTGCAAAGTTCTATGTGGAAAACAGACGTCTGAAAGTGAACTTCACTACCTGACATTTAGACGGATTCAGCTTAAGACCGTTTGAAAAGTACCAATGACTAATTTCCGACAGAGAGTTATTTAATTTGGATCAATCTGACTGAGAGTTCACAGCCATAGAAACAGAGAGGTCATTGGCATACATAAAAAAAGTGGCTTCAACAGAATGGGTCAAGTCATGTAAGAAAAAAAGAAAACAGAAAAGAAGAAAGAACAGCACCCTGAGGAAAATCAGCTGAAGTAAGTGAGGCAGTGGAGGACTTTCCATTGTAGAAAGTGTACTGCTTCCTATCAGAAAAATAGGAATGCAACCACTTATTTGTCCAGCTATCAACCTGTGTTGCAGCAAGCTTACTTATCAAGAGAGACCTAGGTACGGAGTCAAATGCAGATGTGTAATCAAGGAAGGCGCACCGAACGTATTTAGCTCCTCTATCTAAACTAGAGACTATATTATGATATAGGACAACAGCGGCATCTAATGTACACCTACTATGTTTATAAGCTAACTGGTTGGGGTCATTGAAAGGCTTTAAAGAGGGTTCAAGATTTAGTAAAATAAGTCTTTCCATAACTTTCAAAAGGGTGAGGTAATAGCAATGAGTCAAAACTTAACAATAGGTCCACTTGTTGATTTAGGCACTGGAACAAACTTGATATTTTTCCATGAGTCAGGTATAATACTTTTGGAAAAAGATTCGTTGAAAATGTCGGTTAATGGGGAATATAAGATGTCAGCACACTTCTGAAGGATAATAGCAGGAACACGATCAGGACCAAGGGACTGAGTAGGTTTGAGAGATTGAAGACACTTAAAGACGTCACTCGTATTAAGGCATGAGAAGCAGTCATTATTTACACTATTAGAGTTAGGAATCATAACATCTGCAGGGATACATATGATACATATATGTGTGGTGGACCTTTCACTCAGTTAGCTCAGTTACCCAAATTCAAATAGAAAATAAAGTACCAAATCAGTTTAGTTACGGGAAGAATGTATTAAAGTTTGGTTACTTGGGTTTACAAAGATCCAAAGTCCACAATAAACGTTATAGACTCCAGGTGCTGCGGGAAGACTGCTCCAGTACTAATTCTCCAATGTTGACGTTGCCGGAGGTCGACCAAAGTACGTAGGAAGAACTACGGTGCTCCTGCAAAAATTTGAGATAGAAAGCAGGTGATTAAAATTGATCGACGGCAGTTGAGATGGTGGAGAAGACGGAGAGTCGAAGGCAGAACTATATATTTATTCAAAACCCGAGGTAAAGTTCAAAGTACAGAGTTTATGGTTAAAACAAAGTGGTGTACAATATGTTCATTATTTACATAGTAGTAAAATTTGGATAAGTTTATTTTTGAGGACTCCACAGGGCTCCCCCTCTTAGAGGTCCGGAGGACCATCAGTACTGTCCTCGTGGACGATTACATGAATATAAGCAACATAAATAAGGGACAATGTCAACAATAAGGATAACAAAAAATAACAATAACAACAATAAGGATACAAAGTTAGATCAGGATGTATGGCATGCATCCGTGTCGTATAAAGTTTAGCACATACAAGCACATACAGGAATTTAAAAAAAATCAAAACTTGTTATAATTTTAAATAAAAAATTTATGTACATAATAAACCATGACATGTTCGTTAACATTTGTGAAATTCATATATAAATAGATATATACATATACTTGGTGAATGCGTGTGCTTGCAGTACAGTTGACGAACAGCAAATAATAATACTAATAAATATTAATGGTTATAATGAAATGAATGTCGACAACAATAGTAATGAGAAGAATGTCTAAATGAGGTTAACGTTTATGTCAGTCAATAAAATGAACATAGCGGGCAGGTTTACAGATCTGCCGCCCACTGCGTGTCTGTACAGGGGGAAGAGTGAAGAGAGGGAGAGTTGGAGTTGAATTGACTTTCTGATTGTTCATTGGTGTCGGCGTTGCTAGTGTTTCATGTTCGCTGTCGGTGTACGCTGGTTTAAGACGGTCGATAGAAACAGTCTCCGGTTTACCATGTTTGTTCAGCGTGAAGTATTTATCGGTGCGTTTAAGTACTAGAAAAGGACCTTCATATGGATGCTGTAAACCTTTTCTAATGGCATCGACGCGAACAAATACAAATTTGCTAGTGAGTAGATTCTTATTTACTTGAGCTTTCTGAAGTGATTGGCGAGGGGCTACTGGTCGAAGCTGAAGCATATGCTGGGTAAGGCGGTTGGTGAAGTCGGAGATATTTACTTCAGTTGAATCATTAGACGGAACTAACTGACCAGGCAATGTGAGGGTAGTACCATACACAAGTTGAGCTGGTGTACATCCCAAATCTTCTTTTACAGTTGATCGGATACTGAGAAGAACTAATGGTAGGTGTTCACTCCACTTAGATGAGTCAGCTTGTGCCATAAGCGAGCTTTTCAGTTGTCGATGGAAACGTTCCACCAGACCATTCGCTGCAGGATGATAAGCTGTAGTGGAGATATGGTTCACTCCAAGGAGTCTCGTAAACTCTCGAAACAGAGTTGATTGAAATTGAGCTCCTCGGTCTGTTGTAATAGTTGTGGGTACTCCGTAGTTTGACACCCAGCGATCTAAGAAAACCAAAGCGATATTTTCTGCAGATATATCGTTGAGTGGACAAGCAATAGCCCATCGGGTAAATCGATCAATCGCAGTAAGTATATGAGTAAATCCTCTGGATGGCGGTAATGGTCCAATAATATCTATATGAACGTGTTGAAATCGTTTATCCGGTAAATTGAACTGTTTTGGAGGTGTGACGGTATGCCTTGTTACCTTGGATCTTTGACATTGCAAGCATTGGCGGGCCCATTTCCGAATATCGGAGTTCATCTTGGGCCAAACAAAACGCTCGCTGATTAACTTGACCGTAGCACGCACTCCAGGATGAGACAATGAATGTAGATGTTCAAACAAAGGTTTTCGACAACTTAGTGGAACAAAAGGTCTATGAACGCCCGTTGAAACGTCGCAGACGATAGTTGTATCAGACAGGGGAATAGGTACATCCTGCAACTGTAGGGAGGAGTTTCGTCTACAAGTATGGAGTTCGGCGTCATTTTTCTGCAGCTTGGCAATATTGTCTAAGCTAATATCTATCGAAGATAGGTGATTAACGTCACATCGAGACAAAGAATCGGCTACGATATTGGAATCTCCTTTGATGAACTGGATGTCTGTTGAGAATTGTGAGATGTAATCCAGTTGTCTGGCTTCTCTCGGAGAGTGTCTGTCCAACGAAGTGGTGAAAGCATAACAAAGAGGCTTATGGTCGGTTAAGATAGTAAAATGTCGACCTTGTAGTAAGAAGCTGAAATGTTTCACTGCTAGGTAGATGGCTAACAGTTCTCTGCCAAAAGTGCTGTAACGAGTTTGCGCAGGTTCCAATTTCTTGGAGAAGAAAGCAAGTGGAGTGATGTCATTATTGAACTTTTGTTGTAAAACTGCTCCCACTGCTACCTGCGATGCATCTGTACATAAAATGAGTGAAGCTTCTGGGTTGATATGAGATAACATTACAACGTTGGATAAGGCATCTTTTGCATTATTAAATGCTGCTTTTGCTTCTTCAGACCACTGAAATTTCTTCGAATTGCATCTAAGTAGGTCGGTCAGTGGCTGAACTATGGAGGCACATGATGGAATAAAACGTCGGTAGAAGTTGAACATCCCGAGAAAACGTCTAAGTTTCTTTAAGGAATCAGGTTCGGGAAAGTTCTTAATAGTTTCTATCTTATCTTCGGTAGGTCTGATGCCTTCGGCAGTTATTCGATGTCCTAAGAATTCAATGGAAGGGGAACCAAAAATACATTTCTTTGGATTGATAACAACTCCAAATTGTTCAAACCTTTGAAATAACAGGCTTAAGTGTTGCATATGTTCTTCCATCGATGAGCTGGCAATTAAGACATCGTCGATATATACAAAGACGAAATCAAGACCTTGGGTAACTTGGTCCATAAAACGCTGAAATGTTTGAGCAGCATTCTTTAGTCCGAAAGGCATTCTCAAGAATTCGAATAATCCAAAAGGCGTGATAATTGCTGTTTTTGCAATGTCTTCTGGAGCGACTGGTATTTGATGATATGCCCTGACCAAGTCAACTTTAGTAAAAATGGTCTTTCCATGTAAGGTCAAGGAGAAGTCGTGGAGATGAGGTATAGGATAACGATCTGGGACCGTAGCGTTATTCAAAGCGCGATAATCTCCACATGGTCGCCAGTCATGATTAGTTTTAGGTACCATGTGCAGAGGTGAAGACCATGGGCTGTTAGATGGTCGTATGATACCTAGCTGCATCATATGTTCAAATTCCGACTTAGCTGCTGCTAGTTTATCGGGTGGTAACCGTCGTGGACGTGCCTTCACAGGTTGTCCTGTTGTGATGATCTTATGCGTAACTGTATGAGATATATCTTCGACGTTGTATGATGGTTTAAGGATTTTAGGAAATCGTTGCAATAAAGCAGAGAACATTTCACTCTCCGGCTTTTCTATACAGATGCTATGAACAGAGTAGTCACATGTAATACCGTGGATCTTGAGTTGGGTGCAATTGTCAACCAGTTTTTTCTTGCTGATATCAACCAACAGATTGAAGTGACTTAGGAAGTCTGCACCTAGTATAGCGTGACGTACGTCAGCTACTATGAAGATCCATGTGAAACGTCGGCGTAATCCTAGGTTTAAAATCATTGACTGTTCGCCATACGTCTGTATGTTGGTTTGGTTGGCAGCACGGAGTGAAAGTTTTCCAGGTATTTTGGCTGATCGCCTGGATAGTGAGGGGGGAATAACACTGACCTCGGCGCCTGTATCTACCAGGAATAATGTGCCGGTAGTCAAATCCCTCACATAGAAAAGGCGACTGGGGTGATTGCCATTAACAGCCGTCGCCATTACTGTCTGGCTGGGGAGTTTCCCTGAGATGAGTTACTACTGTTGTACATACACGGTCGAAGACACTTCAGGGCATTATGCCCATACCTCCTATGATACCAACAAATGTTACGGCTTTGGGACGGTGTTCTAGAACGTCGTCTAGATCTTGATTGCCGTTGCTTAGATACCGTATGTGACTGGTTCCTTTGTGCTCGAAGCTCGGACACTTCCAGTCGTAAGTCTTGCATTTGAGATGTTAACTGGGAAAGTAACCAAAACGGTGGTGCGTCCTTCATAGATGTGGAATCCGGCAAGGCGGTAACAGAAGACTTCTGTATCACTTCGCCTTTATGAAGTTCTTCGGGAAAAGTGACACGTTTATATGGAGCCATTGTCAAAAAATATTTAAGTATAGAGATACGCAAAATAGCAAAACTTGTGGTAACAAAAATTAAAGCAATGCGAGTTTAAAAGGCCAAAATAGCAACAAAAATGTTCAAAACGAGTTAACTATCGAAACAAAAAGGTTCGAAAACGGGTTAACCATAAAAAAAGGTTCGAAACGGGCTCACCAATTATTGTGGTGGACCTTTCACTCGGTTAGCTCAGTTACCCAAATTCAAATAGAAAATAAAGTACCAAATCAGTTTAGTTACGGGAAGAATGTATTAAAGTTTGGTTACTTGGGTTTACAAAGATCCAAAGTCCACAATAAACGTTATAGACTCCAGGTGCTGCGGGAAGACTGCTCCAGTACTAATTCTCCAATGTTGACGTTGCCGGAGGTCGACCAAAGTACGTAGGAAGAACTACGGTGCTCCTGCAAAAATTTGAGATAGAAAGCAGGTGATTAAAATTGATCGACGGCAGTTGAGATGGTGGAGAAGGTGGAGAGTCGAAGGCAGAACTATATATTTATTCGAAACCCGAGGTAAAGTTCAAAGTACAGAGTTTATGGTTAAAACAAAGTGGTGTACAATATGTTCATTAATTACATAGTAGTAAAATTTAGATAAGCTTAATTTTGAGGACTCCACATATGTCAACATCGACAGAAGTATCATTGATTATTTGCTTACCGCCTGTGATTTCCTTTAATAACTTCCACATATTAGATGAGGATTTACATGAAAGAAACTTCCGGTTATAGAAAGCATTTAACCTTTGTAATTCAGCTTTAATCATAAAATGCAAAAATGCGTTAGATATTCAATATCCACAAAGTAGATATGCACATACTGCAGTTGTTGATCATAAAAATGATGGATATCAGACGACATCACATGATTCAAAAGAATACCAGAAATAAATAAAAATTGTTTCTTAGCTCATTGTCAAGTAAGCAGTCTATCTGATGATGTCACTGCATATTTTAACAGATTAGTGAAGTAGCTATCAAGCCTAAGTTACTACATTTACTTGCGCTACATACTTGGCGTTTAACAGCATGCAGAATTACAATTGGCTATATAAGGCGACTTTAGCGTATCGACCAGTTCAGAATGATTATTCAGCTCGCTAAATCCTACTTGGTTTTTACAATGTGCTATTGTATAGTAACAGACACGAAATCTTACGAGTCACTAAAGTAACCGTCTCACAATACCATGGTAAATCTCCATTCCACTAACTAAGCTTAACATGCATCAGTCCGAATTCACTTATTACAAAAGCTCATAGTATAGCGACGCACTGAAAAAGTCTAGAGGAAGTAAAAGTTATGAGTATATTAAATATTTCATTCATTTACAAAGGAAAATTCTGATGAAGGGTATCAGCGTTAGTTTGACCGAATGATATTTCCACTGATTTCATATTCGACAGCCTCCGTATACCTGAAGAAATAAAACACATGTAAGGACTAGCACAACATGAAGTTATGAAAGATAATTCTACATATTAGCATACATACACTATGAATACACCGACTCTGTTACTACTAAGTGAAATTATTCCCATGTAAATGAAAGTGTTTGTAGTCCACAGCTGGTTTTGTATATTGAAGCCGTAAGCATCAATATAGACCTCTTATGTTTTCCAGTATTAGAGGATTATACGCAGATTTCAAGACAATCTCTGAAACATCCATATTGTTGAGGCGTCTTTCTCTTATTATTAAGATTACTTGCAGATCAACTTCACATTAAACACGTTTACATTAAATGAAGTATTGCGAATGTGTCACTGAGAAATTGATCCACACAATCTCAGTAATGTCTAGTGAACAGAGTTTTATGAATCCTACGAAAATTACATTCTCACATTTAGTAAACAATAGCCATCGAATATAAAGTACATAGGTCTCAACTCTAAACAGTTGTGCAGAGTATTAACAGAA